TATTTACAGAAAAAACAAATTATCTATATCATTAGACGTTACCATGTCGCCAGCCAAATAGGAAGCAATAACAGATTGAACTGATTGGATTCCAATAATCATTTATATCAAGTCATTGAAGACGAAATACTGAGCTGTCAATAATTCAAAGTCATTATTAGAAGCCATTGAATATAAAGTATAACAATGATAGCTATTTGTCAATAGATTTAATAGCTTATCAATTTCTAGGATTATTCTGGTTAACCATGTCATAATTAATTTTTTTTATGATTAAAACTTCCAAAGCAATTAATTCATTGTCGAATACAATTGTCATAGACTACTGGCAGATTCAAACAGTCATGAAAACTTGTATGAATACTAAAATTAAGCAATAGGACAAGTAAATCGTATTGAACAGAACTTAGCTAACGATGCTAACTAGCTTTCCATGTAGTATTGGTAAGGTTTACTGGCATTGAGACAATATTACATTCTATTAGCTACTCTAGTAGTATTAATAACCTCCATCTTGATTGTAAATATTATATAATCATTTTAATCGCTATAGGCATTTTACTAATAAAAAGGAACAATAAAAGTTTTACTTCTACGGTATATTAAATTCATGCAATACCTCATAATAATCAGAGTTTCTTTTCCCTACTCATTCGATATGGCAATCATTTCTTAGCTAACGATGTCAACTATGGTAGCTTTCCATGTATTATTGGTAGGATTTACTAGTGTAGAGACAATAGTGCATCCTATTAATCATTGCTGTAGCATTAATCTTCATCTCGATAGCAAATATTATACAACCATTTTAATTACTATAGGTATCTCACTAGTAAAAAGAAAGAATAAAATTTATTTCCACGCTACATTTAATTCGTACAATACTTGACAATAGCAAGAGTTTTCTTTTCGCTACTTATTGGAAATGGCAATCATCTAAAAATTTTGATATCATTTTTAGCAGACTGTACGTTAATATGACAGAATGAATTATTTTAAATCAAGAGTGAAATTGACCTATAAAAAATTTCACTCTTTTATGGATAGAGAAATCCACTTCCACCTAGTATTGCGTTGAAAATCAAGAAAGTCAAAGTAATTGGATAGAGTGCAACCTTGATCATGCCAATGACGATCGATGATAATAGAAAACACTTGATAGAATGAATACTGTAGAATGTTTGTGTTGCGATTATGAAGTAGTAATTTGCATACTATCAGCTAATGCAATTTGTAACAAGGATCATTTCTATCCCTACTACAGTCACGCAATCACCTAGTTTTCAATATTAGTAGATAAAAACAGTTTGACATAATTTTACTGTCGCACAATCCAGTAGCCACTTTGACAAGGAAATCGAGATACATCTAGATTTCAGACTGAACTTCTTCCTAAAACGAGTATTTTATATTCTCCATTAAGGTTACATCTGTCTTCTTTAAAATTTATCACTAATAGAATTCGACTATTTTAGCCCCTAAATGTAGTATCTTTGATGCCACTAAGATCTAAAAGGTGAAAGCGATGTATGACTTAATTTGTTATTGCATGCTACGGTAGGCACATTGACAATGAAATTTAGATACAGTTAGATCTCAGACTGAACTTCTTGCTAAACCGAGGCACCTTACATTCTCCATTAATATCGTTGTATAGCTGTAAACCAGTGTGTAACTTGTTTTATTCCTGCGTCAAACGGTAGCTCACTTTATTCAGATCTTACTTTAAACATCGTGAAAATCCGCGATCAATCCCTATCCCTAATATTGCATTAATTAACATGCTGACGATCAAGTTTACTATGCCAAAATTTAGCTCTGGTCACGTATAATTGCCATGGTAAAGGACTTAAAAGGTTAAGGTTAAGGCTATCCTCTCTAAAATTTCTCGCTAATAGCATTCGACTATTCTAATGTCTAAATATGGTATCTTTGACACCACTAGTCTCCTATGGACTGGTTCCACCATCTTACTATTTATCCTACATGCAACATTTTAGTACTATAGTTCATCAATTCAGTACTTGCTAGCTCAAGAAAAGCAAATAGTTTGTCTTTATAGGCGTGTGAGAAATCATGCTGAGAAAGGGATAATATATCGAGGGAATAAATTGATCTTGACAGAAAGAAAAATCCACGGATTAAAAAATAATAATGTGTTGTCTATCTTACGTCTGCGAATAGCCCATCAAAAGGAGAACAGGAATATAGACTTTTGAAAATTGAAAAGCGTCCCTATACATTACTTTAATCATACTATGGTATTCTTGACTATTCCACATTGAAATTTACTTTTTCAGGCTGTAGCCTCCTCAAAAATTGATTGAATACAATTAATTGTGAATAAATACAATATTGAATTATAAATAATTATACAATTGAACTATTTCAATACCCTTATGAAGATAAATTATACAATCTGTGTTATTAGAATAATAAAAGTCAAGGGTTCTAGTCCAAGCGTGATCATTTTAACTTTCTCCTATGAATTTCTCATTTAGCTGAAGTAATTGATTTATAAATCAATTAGACCCTAGGTAAAAGAATAATATAAGTAAATAAAATAAAAAATTTCTTACTAAAGAGAAAGGATGTGATGTCTATGATAATAGCATGGATTGAAAATGATGTCGTCCATTCTATTTGTTTAGCAATCAATTTTTATTACAGCCTTATCCACAAAATGCCTTGATGGGACAGTATTAGCTAAATTAAAATAGTCTATGATACATGATCAAAGAACAAACTTTCTTATTGATTTTTTATATTTAAAAACATTATTTTTTCATCCTGGATATTAGTGTAGCCCTTTAAATAAGAATCAAGAAAACTACGCCAAATAATGCACTGGCCATGACAAACAACCGTAGCTATTATCCATTTTGTTCACGAAGACAAGAAAAACGATAGTCCTAGGATAATAAAAAGCTATCTTTTCTATAACGAATTTGAATCTGTAACTATAATTTCATTTGGCTTTGACGTAAATCATTCCACTATTCATTTAGCTTTCAATGCATCCACTGTGTCGTCAAACAGACAGCAATATTTTTTTGGATCCTATTAGACAAATGGACAAAGCCTATCACTAACAGAGTGGCTCTTAATCACGATTGAATTATTGTTCACTGAGATTTATCACATTGAATAACTTCCACTTTGAAACTTGGTTAGAAAGACGATCTTAGTTTAATAAAAGCCAAATACACACAGTTCCACGAAATATTTAGTAGATCATAACGAATCACAACATTTTTCCATTAATTAGCCTTCAATGGTAACAAAGTCTGATTAAAAACTGAAAATTGTTTAAGGATATGCATGAATAAGCGATTATACGATATTTTTGTCATTAACCAAATAATTAATAATAAATTTTACCTTCACTATAGTATTTAAGAATGATGCTATTCCATCGAGATTAGAATCTGTGCAATCAAGATTCTCTACATTCCATGATTAAAATAGAGCAATGTTACAGCTAGGATTTCTCGTTCAAAAATAGTTCAACAACAGAAATATTCAATAGCAGTAATATATAGCATGTCCATTAAAAAATGAAATTGAATTACGCTGCTAACTATAATTGCTCGACTGAAGGGTATCGGCATTATCAAGCAGAATCAATTTGTAATTAGAATCTTGCTCGAATGGATCTCCAATTCGTTACGATAATAGCTCATGACGTATCTAATTCTAAAATTTCCTCTTAACACTTTCTTAACACTATGTCTCACAGTAAATATTATATCGAAATACATGGAATTAAGAATCCCATTTCCTGTCTACCAACACGTACTAATGAGATGGGCGACTATTTAGCTATGCCAAGCATTCTATTCGTTCTAAATGCAAATTAAAGGTTTTTTAGTCTAGCATAGCATGGTCAACTAGAGCATGGTCAATTATGTATAGAAATGATGGGGTTCAACTAGGATACTTCCATTAGTTCCACCCTTAATGGCATATAAGTGATACGTATATAGAGTAAATCGAACTTGACTCGTTGAGTAATTTATTCCACCTATCTAAATAACACATCATGCAATCAAGCTTAGAAATTGCCTTGAAATTCCTCTTCAATGGTATGTGTAAATTGGTAAAATCAATCTGGTAGAAAATAAACAACAAGGTTTCAAGATTGCTCTAGTTTGGATCAAAATCCCAATTTCTTAGGAGCTGATTAGCTGAATGGTTGCAATAGTATATATAGAACATTGAAGTAAAATTATTCACTTTTATCATAGAAACAGTTGGTTTATTCAAATTACGCTAGAGTAAAGCGTTATTTCAATTCTAACCATGGATTGTTGATCAGTTTTAGAGTCGTTTATTTGAATATAAATCAGTAAAATACTCATATACCATCTATTCCTGCTACTGATAGAGTATACGAGTATAATGGTCACATAGAGTGTAGAATAATGTAGCAGCAAAGAATCCATCATAATTGATCATGCATACGGTGCTGTTTCTTACCAAATTATCATGAATTATTTTTAAATACATTATGATATCAGTTACTATCTCTGGGAAAGGCATTTTTGAAGTTGAAATTGCAAAAATTTGTTAGACATATTGAAATGACAACAAATTTATCTAGAATAAGAACTAAAGATAAAGTCTGCTATCGCCAACACGGTAGTCAATATCAACTTGAGACCTCATAGTCTAGATTTTTAGTGCTTCTTATTGACTACATCTACTGTTTTATCAAGATTAGGTCGTAAAAATTGCGAAATAAGCATCTTCATGCTCATCTTTTATTTCCCGTCCGAATACAGTAGATCAATCACAAAAGATGGAGACATATAAAATACGAGGATAGAATTAAAGATAAATTACAGCAAAGAAGTAGCTGGGAAAATTCTTACATAAAGTTTCATCTTAATATTTTTTAAGGCCCTTCTTTAAAATTAAAATCATTGATAGTAATCTATTTACTATTATCTTATTTACATGTTGAACTTGAAAGTATCAGATCAGACCAAATAGTATTTCTAAGCAACATCTTCAATCTCGATGGGAACTTCATTTAATGTAGCATGAATAACAATTTTATCACGTCGGCGCTTAAAAAGAGCTTCAGTAGATTTACTTTTGGCAATAACAATCTTAGGAACTTGTAAACTTTGATTGCAAGATGGAAAGCGAACATCTTGGACAGTATTACTTCTATGCATTGGAAGTAACGAGTTCCTAAATTTAGTGATTGATAGAGAACGGCGCCGAAATGATCTTGATCTCCGCTCCGACATAGACACTATAATCGATCTTTCACTCATACTTTTCTTGAACAAATTACGTACACCAGTAATAAAATTACGATTAAATATACTATAGATGATTGGATTTGCAGCCGAATTGAAAAATGTTAGCCATGTGAAGATTAATCGAACTGATAAGGATAATGTTTTAACTTTGAATATAATTAGGAACTTATTGACCAATGACGGCATCCAACAAAACATAAATACACCTACCACAATCATGACAGTTTTCGTTGTTTTGGTTATTTTAGGCCGCCCTTTAGGTAAATCACCAACACTTAAATGAATTACTTTACGTACACTTTGGCGAGCATAAATAAAGATGACTAAATAACATGTAGTAATAATAAATATTTCTAAGACAACGTAGAAACCAATTATAGAGATTATAACGTTATTCTGTTGAACTTGCAATGGATCTAACCAACAATAGGACATTCCATGAAGAAATTCATAACGACCGAGGCCATATTTCTGTAAACCAAGCAATGGAATAGTAGATGCCACGGTAGCAAATAGCCATGAGAAAGCAATAGTACCAATAATGACAGCTGTTGTTACTATTGAATTATAACGCAAGGATAGAAAAATGGAGATAAAACGATCAGCAGTAATTGCTAATATAGTCACTGTCGAAGCACCAACTAAAACTGTAATTGCTGATCCTTGAGCAACACAGGCAATCCGAGGGTAAATATCTTTTTGGCATATAAATGCAATTAGGGTAGGAAACATGATAACTAAACCAACTAAAAAATCGGCCACTGCCAAATTAGCCATAAGCATACCAGCATTAGTATGAAGTGGACGATTACGAATAATAACTGTAATCACCAAGCTGTTGCCAATTAACGATAGTAACGTTGCTAGTGTTAATATAATTGAACAGATAATAATTTGAGTATTAGATAGTGGATCGTCTGTCAGATTACCATAATTATAAACTAATGAAAAATTATCTTCCATCGCTGCAATTTAATTTATTCCAGGTTATCCTTCGGTTGTGATTGTTGGAATAACAAAGCAAAAGATTGACGATCAAAGAAGTTCTATACTCGATGTAGATGGATGTAAAATATGACCCAGTATCTTGTAATACGGCTATACGGCTTCTACTTTCCTATATCAATATACCTTGACTGTTTAATTTTAGCAATAGCTGAATAGTTGCCACAATATCAATAGTGCAAAGAATGAACAAACGTCATTAAAAGGAAAAAATTCTCTATTCAGTGATGTCAAATTTTAGGTCTAGAACACTCAAAGCTTTTTGTTAATGGTTATCCACAGCAACTTTGTGTTGAAAAGCCTGCTTTCTCTCACCAAGAAGGTATTCTTCCAGTTATACAGTTGGAATCAATCTTTTTTCAATCTAATATAAAACCACATCAATAATGCTAACCAATCACATGAATAATAGATGCCAGAAGAGAACGTAATTTCAAAGATTTCTTGCAAGGTAATTATACCCAGTATCGATTTTGTACCATCTTGGTTATAGCAATTTCATAATCCATCCAAAAAATAACATATAATAACAAATTAATAAACTGTCTACCTGTGCAATAGTTGAATTTCGGGTAATAACAACAGCAATTATAATTATAATGATTACTTTACCTTAGTTCCAATCCAAGTGTTCTACTGTCGCTGTGGTAAAGTATTTATTTAATTTGTGTATAAATCGATATTGCGTTATGAAAATAGTAGTAAAGTAAAACTAATTATTACTTGCTAAAAATGCTTGATTTCCAATTCTATGAAGGCGGAAAAGTGCTAGAAAACATAGATGATATGGATTGTACACGATATTCAAATAGATGGATGAAATAAACCAAGGGCAATTCCAATTTTACCGGTTTGCAATATTCAATGCCCTAACAGAGTAATCGATATCCAAATTATTAAAATAAAAAATTAAACATCTGCAAATTTCTATCTTAAAAAATCAAACAATGTAGAAAAATGATCGCAAATGAGGAGAAAAAAAATTATCATCGATTAATTAATTCGTAATATTGTCGGTTACATGATAACTTACTTTACTAATAATGATTTCTATTTTCTTGCCTTAATTATCGTTAATGTCTACATCTAAAAAATTTCTGATAAATAAAATTAATAACTATCAATACGATAGTTATATAGTCCGATGTTTTTATTGTCAGCAATTTAATTTCACTCATTCAATACAGAAGACTAACGGTATTGATCGATTCCTTGAATATTATACGTCTTACAAATTGATTGTTAAGCAAGATGGATTGAAGATGAATATAATTGGTATCAATACTTTAATCTATCCCCTCCCATCTTCAATATGATTATGTAGAACTGTATTGCATTATCTTGACTATATATAGTAAATAGAAAAGAAATATATCCAAATCATTCCTATAATATAATCAGTTCAATAGGGTAAAGTGTCAACAAAATAGAATACATAAGGGCGAGAATAACGTCATAGTCAATTGATTTTTAATTGTATAATGGCTTGCTTTTCATGTTAACTGGATCAAAATCAATGAAATACGATAGAATAGGTAGATCGATATCAATAGACATCATAATTAATGACAGACATAATAAATAAAAAAATAAAAGCATTGATCAATACCCTTACAAGGCGTAATTGATTTTAGTTAATTATTTTCTACTAGTAATGTATATCTTCACCGATGCAGTTCACATGGATGACTATGTCGGGTGAATATCAACCTATCCAATGTAATAGATATATTAAAAAATATATTCAATCCGCTACAATTAAGATCTAAACATCTAATCTAATTCTAGTACACTATTTTCAAACAAATTCTCAAGCTATTTTTAACATACTGTAATTGCTTGCTCATCACGTAAAAAGAATTTCTGCTTCTCTGTTTTTAATCTCGCAAATTATAAAATGAAAACCAGGTTTTCTTCCCATGAACAACGCCCAGTTTTGAATCGAAATCAAACTGAATTACATTCAATTAGCATAAGATAGCCATTATTTATAACTTTCCGATTATTTATTTGTACTAAAGTACAGCATACCTTTCATTCTAAGTAGCTACAATATCAGAAAACTGTTGTAAAGCATCATTGTTGTTGCGTCTACTCCAGTCTTATTCTAACAGTTTAGCTATGTAGACTAATGCATTTATGATTTTTTATTATCTATAATCTTTTCCAGTAAAATACTAAAAGAAGCTGACAGTAAACCTTGCAATGACTAAAGGCTATATGCTTTACACAAGTTCAAAGATCGGATCATTAGAAAAAGATCACCTTTTACTATTTTGATTGATCTGTATGATACTATAGGCTATAGGATGCGCATAAGAGTACAATAATAATCTGCCTAATAACTCATCTCCTTCGAATCAGAAGTGGGGATAAAAAAAAACGAATTAAAGAGTAAATTGCAAATATTCCTTGAACTTTGATGTAATTAAATCACCATGATTATGTCGGGTAATTGGATCTCATAGGTTATAAATAGGTAGACCTAATCAATATTTTGTACGATAGTATTAAAATTAAATTTTAAATTTCTAGAAAAGAAAATGATTCAACCGCATGATTAATAATACACGTTATATACACACATACGTATATATAGTACATTACATGGTCTTATAATAGATTGATTATATTAATTACGATACATTAAGCTCAATTCTACCAGTTTGGTAAGCTGCATCAATGTAGCCTACTATCAATAACATCATCACTTAAATATTATCGTATCAGAATTATCGTCGTCTGTCAAATTCACTAGTCACAAATAAGATAGGCCATCACTAGCGTATTATCAATTATTACAATCTTAAATCTATTATTGCCGGTACTAAATGATAGATTTATATAATTTTCCGACAACATCTCCTTCATTTTCAGTTTAAATTAATTGGAACAGATTTTATCGTAGCATCATCCATTAGTAATTACTGTCTAGTCATCATGAACTCTTTCAATTCGCGTCTAAGGTATTAGCAAAATTTAAAAAATCCACTATGTGTCCTCATTAATTTATTCATTTCCTAACTACAATACCAATGATAGTACCCTATAAATGACATTATAATTGTAAACATTTGATTGAAGCTTTACTATCAAATAAGCTAATACTTACCTGAAACCCTACATCATTCTATCTACAAGCTCAGATAGATTAATGAGTTATGGATAAAATAGCCTCTGGTAATGTATAAATTATATTGAAAGTAAAGAAATTTTCAAAAATTTTAAATAATAGCTTTCATGAACCAATGATATGACCTTAATAATTATTGTTTATGTGTACCATTGTTTGGTCGCATTCTGTTGCTTGATCCATTTTCAAAAATATACGAAAGAAAAGTTAATTCCGTAGAATATAATATTGTTATTTTAATTTTGGAAATAAAACTGGACAAATACAGCCGAAATCATATCCTGACAACTTAATTAGCAATCAATCAACCGTATCATATCATCCTTTGAAATTATAAAAGCATTACTGAATTTTATCTACATCGATTATATGCGTATAAAAACATTATTGAATATGTAATAAAGGATTATTTTTAGTTTTAGACTTATCACATCTAAACTCCGAGAAACTACACTGGAATCTCATGAAATATTATCATGATAATTTAAACAATCCGATTAATTTAAAATATACTACTATTAATGCAATATTTTATAACCTTTAAATAGTTAGCTATCATTTCCTTAGCAATTAAAAGGAAATAAATATGGCATCAGCTCTTTAGAACCGATTTTGGGACGAAAAACATCTATAATGAGAGTGTCATCTAGAAACTCACCTCGAAGGCGATTTAGCCATCATTTAGTTTCCTAATCATACGGTTATTTACATAAAAAGTAGCCGCAGCAGCTGAAATATATTGCAGTAGAAAGAATTAATCCGCCTACCATATTCAATATGGGGAAGTCTACTTTAATTGAAAAATTAAATATATAATAAGCATTGAACATTTTACAAGTCATTATTTGTAGTATTCAAGTGTAATTCGCATTATACAAGACGAAATATTGAAAAGCAATAAAAGAAAGTTATATAAATATACTGTAAGGAGAATGCGCAACAATATAATCAAGGCAGTGTATCATGTTTTCTGAAAACTATTGACGTAAAAAGACAATTGTGATGCCATTAATCCCTTCGTTTATATTTTTCTCTACCAATTAACTAATGCTTCACGCAAGGAACATAATGTGCGAATATATAGTCATATGCAAATACATCGGCAGGGAATGATATGTAGTTAATATGATTAGCATTCTCTTTGCATTTATCCTTATTATATCAATTGACTATTACATCACATCTAGAAATTGTATCCTTCCGTGTAGTAGTAGTTTCTAACTGGAAAAATGATCAAAATGATTATTAATCCGGAAGAATGTATTCGTGTGTAATTTACTATCACATCACGTAGACGTACTGCACAAGTAGATACGATAAATGGAGATAAGTTTCAATTAATTATACATGTTATTTATTATTAGCAATCACGTTGAATATATTCCCCTTCAATTCCCTACTACGTACTGTTAGGAAATAAAGATATACAAGTAACTTGCTAACTTTAGAATTCGTAGATAAAGAGTATTTAAATTATGCCACACCTACTATGTAGTAATTTTTCAATCAACATTATAAAGTAAATCTGTTAAATATTTCTTCTAGAATTAACAAAGGTATCAAAAAATCTTTCGGCATATAAATTAGAGGTTGTAGGTGCGTCGTGAAAACCAATTACTGCTGTTAGTTTGTCGTTAGTAGTAAGATTTCTAATAGCTTTACCGGTATATCAGAAAATAACTGAACTTTTTAATAAATAGTTGTGCTTTATACTTAGTCAATTGCATGAAGTATTTTCAAAAGCAGATATTTTTAGCTAATGCGACATACTTGCATATTATCAGCTTAAATCATCAATATTGATTGCGACCGAAATTTAGAGCTTTAGTTGATATTTGTCTAAGCAATCTTACTCAAGATTCAATGACTGTCACATAGCATACATACAGTATAAACGAATTAAATAGCCATTAATATATGGCTAGCTAGTTTAGTAATTTCAATTATAAACCAGCGGCGACATTACGCTATCTTTATCTCCAATTCCAAATATTAAAGTTACTTTCTACTTAGCAAAATCTTCAATGTTATCACTTGATTTAAGTAATTGTTTGTTTCCATTTCCTTTTAAATTAGAGTAAACTGAATTCATTAAGCTTGACTAATCTGGACTCAATAACACTGATTTTTATAATACTTAATAAAATAGCAGTATGATATGCATCATTACATTTTATGAAGTATTTGTATTAACTAAAATATAATACTTAGTTTACCCAAAATCTCATCTTAAAATTGATTTGGCATACCCTACGATAATTATTAATGCCAACTACCATTATACACTATCTAGAGGGCTATTATGCCTTTCTTATCCTTTCAATGACTGAAATGTAAATAAAATTATTTTTAAATGTTGGGAGGAAGTAAAGCATCATAAAAAAGTCGTTGTATACAATTATAAGTATATAACATATGTTGTAAATTATTTAAGAAATTTTTAAATAAAAAATCATAAATGATCTTCCATCTAATTTTCATTTCAGTCAAGGTGCTTATACATAATAGATTGACTACCAAGATCAGTGCTACTATGCTAGCTAATTAACGATAGCATCATTCGACAGCATAAAAACATACGAAATTATGATACACCCACAATTAGAAGAATACTGTACAAGAAGCCTCCGTTATCCACGGATGTCTTTACTGTCTTTTTGAATAGGTGCTCTTTGATTATTAAGCGTACTAGCAAGTTATCCTATTTAGGCGACTGATTGATCTTATTTGCTAACTTATGGAAACTTTTCAATTTGATACGGTACTAGCAGCAGTAGTGAATCACATTATGCCAATTTTTAGAGATCACCATTATTAGTAGTATACCAACTTTGGTTAAAACTATATCCTACTTTACTACTGTTTAAATAAATAAGAGTATTATATTATAATATTATTATCTCACATAAGCTATAATTAATACAGTGCATGCTGCCAAAATTGCCTAGACAGCTTGCGATTTACTCATAGAGCTTATTCTCAATCTTTAGTTAATATAAATATACTTTGAACAAATCTATCTACATTCTTTTAGCGTCTATTATACATCTGCTGCAGTACTCTTGTATACATTTGTAAATTATATTATGAAAGCAACCACGCAAAAGGTCTTAATGGGATAACTACAAAATTAGCTCATTCACTAGTAGACATAATTATCAAAATATAGGAAGTAATACAATGGATTATATTATGATACGAGTTTATGTATGTTAGCAACCTTAACAAGTAGTAAGCAAGCCTAATTCAACACCTATCCAATAATGCAGATAATAACGCTTGATTCTTTGGTCAATCTTACTTTAATAAACAAAGTGGAACTAAGCATTTATACCCAATAGTAATATCCGGTTAAAGAAAATAATTAAGTACCGGTCTACGCTTATAAAGAAGTCACTGAAGCGTACACGAAATACTTACACTTCATTTCATGATTACTAACATTGTTTCAGGGAGGATATTGATCCTTTAACCTGCCTGTATTATGATATAATACTGTATGATGTACGCGGCAAGATAATTTTGTAAACTAGTCTCAAGTAACTTTACACAGTATTATACATAATTCGTTTATCCTTACAAGAAACGTAGTATGAGGACAGCTATTATGAGTAAGATGCAATGCTATTTTATGAGAAAAATCTCATTTAATTGACAATATTGACATATAGTCTAGCACTTAAATTCAATAAATCTTTTCCCTAATCAATTAGGCCAGATTTCCTACTCAGTCACAAATAATACCACTAGTGGCTAATTATTATTGTCTGAAATATCAAAATTGGCTTAAATCGTCACCTACGCAATCCCCTAACAGGATGTATACTGTAAATGTGAGAGCGTAACTATAAATAAGCTATTATAGATTATTTTACTTTAATGTATTCCTGTGTTCATGGAATAGGCTCATAAATTGCTTAAAAAACGAATAATATTAAGAGCGATACTTAAAAACATTTTTCCATGCCTCTAGGTTACTTAGCGAAGAATAGATTTGACCCTAATCATATTTACTATTTGCATAAAAGCTTATACTCTTTCTTTTAGTAGAATTTCTAACGGCTACTATAGCCATACAGGAAGGCAATTGCGAACGTCAGTGGAGTATTATTAATCACCCAGTAGTCTTATAGAAAGTTACTCTCGGATGTTTACTCTTGTTTTTTTTTTAGTACTTCAAAGAGTAAAGTAGCATTAGTTTCCTTCCTTCTTAATTATGTTGGGTGCATCCGCAGCAAATTAAGTCCAACAGTTAAAACTTTGACGAATCTCATTTTTCGTTTACGGCTTATTTGCTACAATCTGAATCCCGTATACCATTTAACTGATCAAATTCAGACCTGCTATTGACTGTAATCATTACTAAAGTACTTGCAGATTTGGTGGAATTTAGCTGGGAATCGCGTAAATTCGCGTATTTAGCAATAGTACTGTGCTGGGATGACCTAAGCCCTATGTAGAACCCCGTTCTCTTAATCATTCTTAGTTACAATAATTGGTTATTAGCTGTATATGCATTACAATACGGTAATCATGGGATATTATCTTGAGTATCACAGTAAAACATTTACTGAATCTTGCGACAAAATACCCGCAAAGGTATTTTGGGTGTTCTTAAGCCTGAATTACTTGTCAAGATTAATACTCTGGCAATCATAAACATTTTTTTGCCAATCATTGTCGGTTTATCCAATGGATGGGTGCTTTGATGAGATCTTATACGACGCGTATAGTAGTGTTACGTCAGGTACCTAAAATCGAAACAAAACAGTAGCTCTATTTAATTAATGCTTGCATTTTCAATAGGCAGCCTTGTACTGTCAGCTGCCGCAAATGACAAGGATTTTGTAACTACTGAAAAAGAAGGCATGATTCTGTTTTATGGTATTCTACACTGTTTAATTATCCATTCTTTCTTTCGGTCGTTCTAAGTAATGGGTAATTTTTTTAATATTATGCGATGGCTATATTTTCTATAAATTTAAAAGTGATATCATTTTACTATATCAGCATCACCTATAGTGTCACTAGCTACAGTAGCTCATTTTATTAAAGGCATATAATTAACCATGACGTTTATGATGCGTAAATATCAACACAAAATTAAGAAAGTTTTGAAATGCGCAAATCAATTTATTAAAGGCATAAATTCTTGAAAAAGACGTAACATGGCCATAAATATACAAGTAATCCAATCATCGAGAATTAACAAGCATATGCTAGTCGCACATCCATCATTCATAGTCGAACTCTATAACCTCGATACAAGATATTTTATTGGAAACTATTTTTCAGCTGTACATAAAGAGTTACAATTACCAAGAATTAACTGCAACGACTTTACCGAAAAATGATTTGTAAATTATGTCACTTTGAGTACAAGACGTAAGTTTATAATAATTGAATGGTATACAGAATAATTTATCTAGATGCCTATTACGCAAGAATGTTCTCCAAATTGCAGTAGTATAAAATAGTGCCTAAAGAACATTAACTTTGAAGACGTTTTACGCTATATATTATGGAACAATCCAAATAAAGTTTACTACCTTAAGACTGTAGTAAACAAGTTTAGTTTTAAATATAACAGAATAACTCAATAGTAGAGTTTCTACTTGAATAGCAAAGTAACCAAACGGTTCATCATGAGCGGTTTCTTGCAGTATTAACGCATAATCGTATTCGTTACTTATTGATCGAGATATGGTATCACCACTTTGGTAGCAACGGGAATGAAAAGTCTACATAACTATAATGTTTATAAGTAAATCATACCAGGTTTATATCTATATATCATGTTGGTTCTACAATTTTATAGTACTTGTAAACCGGTCTAGTACCATTGAAAGATTGTAATAAATGCGATGGCGATCAAGGCCTGTTATCCAGACGTACTCTGGTCTGAGTTTCCATCCGAACTAGGTTCACCTCTTTGTTTCATAACTTCAGGAAGATCAGGCGGCTGCGTTAAAGGAGCTATATTCAATGGTTCGAATTCTCCATCTAATAGTAAAATCATAACATATGGAGCAAGACAAAGAATTAAAGGAAAAGGATATAAACTCAAGAATTTATTCTTATATTTTGGGGTAACTATTGAAATCGTATTATAGATGTATGAATGAATATAGCATTTAGATTTAACATTAGGCCCAAAATTTTATCAATACTAAAAACAACTAGTAGGCTATCAGATTTGTAATTCAATTGAAGCAGCAGGATTTACAATAAGCAGTATTACGTCCAATAAGTAGATCAATAATAATATCGTGTTCACCATAACCAACTTTAATATGTCAAGAGATAGCAACCTCACCCTAACGTACAATACACAAGTTGGAACTAAAAAAAATACCTAACATTTCAGTAAATCATAACATTCACGAGCAATTAGAATTGAACTCGTGTTAAGACTTTAAAATTAATCTTAAATGAAGTACCTTCGCCACGAAACGCTAAACCAAGAAAAGCAGGTTCCTGAGCACGAGCGGTGCTTGTACTAAAGCCACAATCGCTCAAGAGTTTACTATCGTCTAGAATTTCATCCCCTTTGAACAATCGTTGATCTTCAGGGTTTACTTTCGTAACACCATCGATTATTTTCTTTAAATCCAACACTGTATTAGTCTCCTTACAATCGGTAAATAAAGTTAACTTCTGTCGTCTAATCATGAAAAAAATATCCTAGTATAACGGAATAAAGCGCACAGTCAGTATGGTGTAAGAAAGATGAGGACGACTTGTTAGCATACAACATGGGCTAGTATAGTTGGAGTTACCATGTATTCTCGAATTGAACCTATGCTAGATCATGGATGTGATGATGTTTATTATTATTATTATTATTATTGTATGAACGCGATAAGATTGACATGTAGCCGAGTGTTATTACTCCTCTTCAGGCTCAGCGTTGTACTTTTCAAATTGACTATGGCATAAACGTTATCAGCGTTCCCTAAAGCTACTGTATTTCAGTCGTGCATCCTATATTATAACATGGCAGATACTTTCTAGTTAAAGTGACAAATTTTGCTGATTCAGAATGGAAACGTTACGTGAACAGATACGCGTCTATACAGTACAATGGATATGGTAACTGATGATAGAGAAAAGCAACCACCGTTTGATAATCAAGTTAATAGTAGGAATAGTCTACGAACGTTATCACACAGAGAAGCTGATTGCATCAGCTTGCGATTGTCAATGCAGTAGGTTGGCAGTCGTTATACTGTAAGAGGAGACTAAAATATGTTCCATTACTGAAGCACTACAATGAAAAATATTGCAATTTTGCTGGATTATACAGGCGTAAAACTTTATTCATCTTGTGCATAGCCATCCTAGGACAGTACAAATGGTAATACGAGCCAATAAATTCATTTAGCACGTGCAGTACAGTCGGAATTTTGACTCCTCTTTCTCGGACTATGTTGATTGTAAGACCTACCCATATCATCAAGTTTAGCGCTACGAAGACAAATTGCTGTCTTATGAAAGGAATAGACCTATCCAACAATGTAGCTGCTATACAAGTTGGGTTCATGATGTAAAGTGATGATGTACCTTGAATTTCTCAAAATGTCAAGGTTGATGGAATAAGCAAGCTATAGCTGGTTGTGTCAACTCAGCTTCACTATCATTGTAATTGTTTTAAGGCTAAACTTGGCAGGCGATTTACAGGGACATTACAACACTGTACAACATTGAGTGTACAGTGGATCAAGAAAGATATTGACTTGCTGATGGAATAGTGCATAGAAGATGGCAGCACCAGCACTCATCATGGTGTAATCCATCCTGACCAAAGGATGATGTAAAAATCGTCACATCGACTGTCAATTACAATCTAAATTGTAATTATACGAAGCACTGGCTATGATTGATTGATTGATTGGATATGGATCAACCTCTGACGATGGCAGTCATCGAGTTGGTATACGTATTCTGTGGCTCACCGGTAGTATGATGGGGAGTGCGGTTATCGCACGATTCATGTCTGTATTACCATTTTGATACTACAGTCTATCACTGCAAGTAGTGTAGAATGCTACATGATCATGATCATGCAAGGAGGGAATGTCTTTGACTGTACACTACCAACATAGTATGTAAATTGCGCTTTGCGCCTTGACGCTAATCCAATCTGTAGTCCAAGTCAAGTTGAGTCAAGCATACGGTGAGCATTTGCTAAGATAGATTATCATGATAGTCGACTTATGGTAACCTCTACAGTCGTTGGTTTCTAGTCCTATTACAGATGATGACCTTGTCTATTTCATAGACACATCCATGTCTATGAAATACTGTGGTAAAGTAACGTATGAATGTATGATGAATGATCCTGTGATGATGTACACCCAATCATTTGAATTGGATTGGACTGGAGGAAATGAAATGACGCAAAAGTCACAAGTTTACTGCATGACCAGGAGTATTTGAATCATCGTTGATGAATGCTTGCATACAATCAACCGACTTTGTCAGCAAATGCAAGTATCAATCTTACCATTTCGTCTCAAGGAAGTGATTTATTTTCTTATCCAGTATACGGTTACACGATTGTACCGTTGGGATATTCCAAATGAATGATGCAATGTTTTCCAATTTGCGGTGCGATCGCGCTGGCTACTGTCAAGCCTTGCTTCCAACTTGAAATCCCAATCAAGATGGATGATGATGATAAATCGACTGGATGTTGCAGACTAGTACAGTACTTACTGTACAACCACCCACAGTATCCACTTGAGCGGTACTGTACACTGTACACTGTACACTGTACCGTCCAGTGGTACTTTGTTGTTTGTTGTAGTTACTGTGGTCTGATTGTATCTCCAAGTTGAAATCAAAATTTAGTACTGTAGTTAACTGTCATTGTATCTCTAGGCTATCCAAGTTGCTATAGCTATGTTTCCAGGTTTTGATGACTACAGTACAATACTATATGGACATCCTTACTATCCAAGTTGAAATCAAAATTTAGTAGTGAACTGTCATCGCATCTCTAGCCTATCCAAGTTGCTATGGCTATGTTTCCAGGTTTTGATGACTACAGTACAATACTGTATGGACATCCTTACACTACTGTACGTGACCATACTGTTCATTGTACTCTACCTAATGTACTGCACACTCAGTAGTTACTGACTCTGAGTAACAGTACTATATACTGTACTGTACACTGTACAGTACTGTAGTCATGGCCCCTGGATACAGTACTCGACTACAGTACTCTACACTGTAAAGTCTACACTGTACACTGTACGCTGTACAGTACAGTACGGTGTGAGCCAGTTCTCTTTAGAGTGCTATTAGGCAAAATAAATTGTAGTAAAGTTGCAAAATTTGCCTTAAATTCTATACATACAGATAGATGAAACAGTACAGTATAGTGAGTGAGTGATGCTACCTGCATTCAATACACTTGCTGACGTGTGTTATGGCTATGTTTCCAGGTTTTGATGACTACAGTACAATACTGCATGGACATCCTTACACCGCTGTACAGTACAGTACTGTACTGCACACTCAGTAGTTACTGACTCTAAGTAACAGTACTATATACTGTACTGTACTGTACAGTGTACTGTACAGTAATGTAGTCATGGCCCCTGGATACAGTACTCTGCTACAGTACTCTACACTGTAAAGCCTACACTGTACACTGTACGCTGTACTGTACAATACGCTATTTTCCTGACGCTCTACAGTACTGTGTATAGTGAGTGAGTGATGCTACCTGCATTCAACACACTTGCTGACGTGTGTTATGGCTGTGTTTCCAGGTTTTGATGACTACAGTACAATACTGCATGGACATCCTTACACCACTGTACTGTACGTGATCATACTGTTCATTGTACTCTACCTAATGTACTACACACTCAGTAGTCACTGACTCTAAGTAACAGTACTATATACTGTACTATACTGTAGTCATGGCCCCTGGATACAGTACTGTACTCTACACTGTAAAGTCTACACTGTACGCTGTACAACACGCTATTTTCCTGACGCTCTACTGTATACTGTATAGTGAGTGAGTGAGTGATGCTACCTGCATTCAACACACTTGCTGACGTGTGCTATGGGTTACTGTACTGCATGTTTCCAGGTTTTGTTGACTACAGTACAGTGCAATAATGTATAGACATCCTTACACTACTGTACTGTACGTGACCATACTGTTCATTGTACTCTACCTAATGTACTGCACACTCAGTAGTCACTGACTCTAAGTAACAGTACTATATACTGTACTGTAGTCATGGCCCCTGGATACAGTACAGTACACTGTACAGTACTCTACACTGTACAGTACAGTACAACACGCTATTTTCCTGACGCTCTACTGTACTGTATAGTGAGTGAGTGAGTGATGCTAGCTGCATTCAACATACTGTACTTGCTGACGTATGGGTTACTGTACTGTACGTTTCCAGGTTTTGATGACTACAGTACAGTACAGTACAATACTGTACCAGTACTAATGCTTTACAGTAGTCACTGACCCTAAGTTACAGTACTATATACTGTACTGTAGTGTACGCTATACTGTACTGTACAGTACAGTACATACAGTACTGTACAACACGCTATTTTCCCTACGCTCTTTGGTGAGTGATGCTACCTGCATTCAACACACTTGCTGACGTACAACAGTGGTGGGGTCAATCAGCCGCGTACGACCACCACACTGGAAGATGGCGTCCGCCAGTTCGGCCTCTCACAATAATAGTAGTAATAACGCCGGAACCAACTCCAACACGGAAAGCAATGAAAATGAAGATAGTGCTCAAGCAAATTTCGAATGCAACATATGTCTGGATACAGCCAAAGATGCAGTAGTTAGTTTCTGTGGTCACTTGTTTTGGTAAGTATCACTTCTCATCATCGCTATCTTGGTAGCCAATATTGTTTCTTTCCACTCGACGTCCAATGCAGATACAACAGGGCAGAAACATCTTCCATTACCGAACACTCTGCAGTGCCAATCTATTTTTTCGCCCTGTTGTTACATCATAGATCGTATGTAGTCTTTCATGACAAACGATACAATAAGCTTGACGTAGATCGAGAGTTGCCAAGAGAAACGCATATCAAAGATATTTGTATCAATACCTACAGCAGTTGCCTTAGCTGTTGGCCGACGTAGGCAAATCAACTGATAGTCAAGCACGTAGGCTAAAGTTTAATCGTCAATGAATTGCAATAGCAGTGCTCGCCTTGAGATACAGTGTATAGTAATATCTCGACACCATAGTCTCTCTTTACTCTGAACGTCAATCCTTTGCCGGGTACTGTAGTTACAATTTCAATCTTATCCGTATGGTAGCGCAACACTTACACCTTGGAATCAAACCTATCTTTCCATGAATTAGTGAGTAACAGTAAAAATAGAAATGAACCAGTTTCGTCAACAGCGTATCACGTCATCATTGGTGGAGTTAACCTTGCACTGCAAGGCTTGCAGCATATTCGTTGTGTATTACGCGTAGGCTTGATGGGACTAGTGCAAATCTAGCTCTTCTTTTCGCCTACATCACACTACTGTAGTCAATTCGTAATCTCATCACATAATGCTGTACCGACTGGACTACATTTTGACACTATATCCATGGGGTACCCTAAATTCTCCACTACCGTATTAATATGGCAGTATTCGGTGATTGGCTCATCACGAAGCATCATCAATCAACTCATTGAAAGATTGAGGAGGATCAATTCCATTGATGATGCAGTAGATTCGGTTACGATAGGACAGACTTATTCGTAGCAAATGCTATTTTTTCATGAGCTGATACCGTATACAGACAACATTGACAACAGTAGCAACTTATTGTAATACATGTACTATACTCAAGCATTAAATTACAATATACTGTACACAGCGTAAATCCTGGTTATTACTACAGGAAAAGTAAGATCAATCATAACGTTACATAAAATAATAATTGCATTATTCTTAATCGAAAGAAGGGACACCATTTTATGAATCTGTTGACCAATACAGTACTCACTAGAAGTTAAGAAAAACTCATCTTGTAGATAGATACTATAGTCAATGCCCCAAGCAAGCTTTACTTGATGTGATTTCATTTACAAGAGCTGTTGTCAAAACTACCGCTATTGTACAGATTAGCCTACTGTACTGTCGTGACGTTGAAACTTAGTTGTGATTTCCTTGTTTCTTCTATTAACCGGTATCCGTCAATATCTTCGATCAATACTAGCTGGCCTTGCTTACACACGGTTAGTCGTAGCTCCATTGCAATCCACTTCGTATTGAACCCCTTTACTATAGATAGCGCTGCAATATTGAACTCTTTGAATTAACCCTTGCTAATCTTTCTTCCTTAGTGGCTAGAAACAAGGCCTAATAATAAAGTTTGTCCGGTATGTAAAGCAGCTATCAGTCGCGATAAAGTCATTCCGTTATATGGTCGTGGTTGCGCCAATCAAGACCCTAGGTATGCTACATAAAAATACTAATAAAAGGACTGCTAATATCCAGCTATGTTCAACAATTCGTTATGTTGTATGTTAATATGGTAACTTCTTCAGTAATTTAAGTGTTGTAGGGATTAGTGTCAGTACTGTAGATGAATGTTCCTAATGATACTTGATGTGTTCAGTTTTGATCTCAGGGGCAATATCGACATGCCAATAATTTCACTTTCATCATAATTTATAATTGTTATCATTTTTAGAGAGAAAACTCCTCCAAGGCCGTCAGGAATTAGGTCTGAGCCTGAAAATCAAGGGGTATATCTTTTATTGGCTAAACTATGATTTTTTTCACAATTCTCTCCAACTCCAATCAATGTCTTACTAGTGGTGATTGTCGCCGCGTTCCAATCAATTTACTAGTCAGATTACTTCAACAGATCCTTTGAAACAGACACGACTTTACTAGTAACAGAATAAGGCCTTAATATTACACACTGCTTCGGCAGCATGCTAATTACAGTAAGCGGCTAACACCTTTTCTTCTTTTTTTTCAGCCATTTCAAAATTTTTGGGGTGATAACTTTCAGGTTTCTTTCGGGATTGGCGCCTTTCCGTTTGGTTACTTTTCAACGGTAAGCACCAGTTCAAAGTTGTGCATAAGTACGATTTTACATAGTGGTGCCATAAGCACACCACCATGATTCATAGTTTATGACTAAAATTGTCAATCAATAACTTACCAACATTTTTATCCGTCTTATCATAGAACTTTGGAACAAATCATGGAGGTGATTTCATTCTTACATACTCAATACGGAAGTTGGAATATTGAAAATCTCTATGAGAACTAAATTTTATTGTCTAATTGATCTATGATTTACGTATAGCAGACCAACAACGTCCCCAAACAGAACAGGAGCAGAATGAGCGATTTTTATCAGAAGTTTTCTTTATGGTTGTTCTTATTTCGTTTTTCTTTCTCATGCTTGCCTAAACATACAATTCCTTTACAAAATGATTGGCTATAATGACGTCGATATCCTGTAAAAAATAAGCAACGGAGATGTTCAATTGATTATGGATTTAAATTCCTTCCATAACTGGGATTAAGATTATACTGTTTACGATTCTGAGGTATCCATAATTTATGTCTGAATCACTCATCTAAAAGGAGTGATTCATATTCAGTAGTATCCTTCTGTTGAGGATTTGATATTTGTTCAACAGAAGTAAACTATATGAGTATAGTACTGTAATTGCTGATCCAATATTGAGCCAAATCAACTATACATTGTTTGATTCATTACTATAAGAAGCTAAGAGTAGTTAACCTTAATGCCTACGTCAATGGCTGGAGCTTCAGTAATGTTTATACTTTGAAGTCAATCTAATATCATATCGGAGATATCTTGTAATTATATTATGAATTCTTGATTCCAATGGTTTGTATTAATTACCGCGCCAATGGTGCGCATTTCTAAACTATAATATATGCTTATTAGAGTTTACCATTTACGACATTACATATCAAATTTAAATTCATACAACATGTTACTGTAAGTACTGTTACACTTGTTACGGTTAAAATCGTAATTTTGCATAGCGCTATGCATATAATTACATAACAAAATATTCACTAAATGGACTCTTGATCCTACTATATTTAACGTATGCATCTTAAAATTTATTCGAAATATACCTATGTAAGTTACCTACAATCAACAGTGAATAGCTACCGTAAATACGCGTGCTGTACTGAACGTACATTTAATTAAATTCTAGATACAGTATGATAAAAGCAACTTGAGAGATAGCAGTCACTTGATTGGTTTATGAACAATTGCAATTCTAATAGTAAAAAACGTGTAAATGTATTGGGCAGTAGCGAGATTAAAAATCTTATCGTGGCTTATTAAATATGTGATAAATTACAATTTCAATTGTTAGGCAACATATGAAGGTCATCAGTTAGCTCTTCCTTTTCAGTCTCAAATTTACGAAATCTGTATTCAAAGATGCACACTCCATATTAAAGAAATTCCGTGTTTGACAGCTTGAAATTCGTTCCACTCCATTTTTTAACATTATCAATTCCATCTTTGTATTGTGTAGTGATCGCTTTCTTTTAATCGCTTCTGTATCTACGTAAATATCCGAACGAGTGTTAATATTTTTACAAAGGTAATAAAAATATTGATATTGAAAGCTGAGTCAGTTAATGTGGAACGGATTCGAAATTACATTTTCTAACAAATGTACGGTAGAGACCAGATTTGCGAGGTTTTTATATTTTAGAGAAAAACCGTGCGTCCTCAAGTGTTGTAGATTCCGTGTACTGCGGTTAGGGCTAGACGCTGTGTTTTAAAAGGAAAATTGGATATCAACAAAATACCTGTGATATGCAAAGAAATGAAACGATTGAGCGGACTGAGATTGATAACGGTATTAAGTTAATATAGTATTACCGAAGACACTAATTTAAGCTTTTTTATTTTGCGATACGTTTCTGAATACACGGGCACATCAAGAATGCTCGTTGTACGTAATGTATCCGTACAAGGAAGATGACAACTTGCAACTAAATAAACACGTACGCTTTATTAACTTAGTTCAATCATCAAAGTACTATAGTATCTAGTAAACTGGTATCTATATTACATTTATGTGCAAGTACATATTAGTTTGCGGGTAAATATTACACGATTGGCTACAGTGCTGAATTGTTATATGCTAGTAGCACTACGATTGAATGTATTATTAAATACCATCATTCATCATAATAAACTAGTAAACCTACCGTTCAAATACTTGAACTGGTCAGAAAAAGTGCTAGCTATGCCAGTGCTACTATGCGTATAATCGAATTATCTGCTATACATCGATAACTATGTATCCTACGTAATTAAATATTAATTCGGAAATTGAATCTTGCGGCATGCATATTTATTTATCATACTACTTTACTAGAAATTACTAGTAGTCCATGGTAGTACACTGTTGCAAATATGGCCTACGAATAAAGAAATGAATTGTGTAATAATTTGATCATTATTACATAATTATAATACTGGTGTCCTTCATACAGTGTATAATAAACTGAATAGACGACAATTAGTCCTATTGTACGCATGATTACATATGGTTTACGATATATAGAATTTGATTTGCCTTTCATAGCCGTTATTTACTACAGTTTTATCAAAGAAATAGTGTAATTTCGATTGCACGCCAATCCATACATACACAAGTGTATACGTTCACCTAGGCCCGGCCATTGTATAACATACTGCATATATTTTGATATTCACTATTTAATATGATACATTTATTTATTCACTGCAAGTTAATCTTGCGCCGTAGAAGTAATTAGTGCACAGAACAGTTTCAGCCAAGTGTAAGAAAAAAATATATATATCGAAGTGGTCGGGTCTAGTGTTCATTCCAGCGGAAAGTGAAATGTATGCTACTGCATAGACATTTATAATAAAAAAATAAAGACTAGAGCTAATCATGTTGGCGTGATTAATTTTAATGATTGGCCATTTTCGATCATTTTGTATAAAATATGCTTCTTTGAATTTTGTAATTATATCAACGTATGCAGCAGCATGCATAGGCATCAGCAATGAGATCACTTGTACATATAAAGCTCGTCTAATTCTAAAATACAGTATACGGTACTAAAGGACTAACTGTAAGTAAATTGTATTTTTTGTTGCGTATAAAAATTTGTATACGCGCATCACTCCAAGTCGTAGCACCAGTAAAATGGAACACTATGCGCTTCTATAAAATTATTATCCAAATTGGCCGATTGTATTCCTATTGCCCGAAGCAAGAACTTCGTATGTCACTGTCAAAAATGATGGCAGGGACTATGCAAGGAAAGGAAGGGAAGTAAACGGCGATAACATTGCACTAAAATGAGCTGCTAAAGCAGGCGCTGTCGGTGACTAGTTGTGTTTACATAGGAAATTGTCACGTACTTCTACTGTACTAAATAGTATGCGCGTCGATGAGAGCAGTCAGCAGGTTTAACCTGTATCAATCCATAACGAATAAATTAAATAATTTGTATCTAAACAAGCATGAACATGCCATTGGGAATCATGGAGGTCAAGAAAAGCTTAAGTTACTACTGTGTTGTTAAAATATCAACTACGACTCCAGCAGTACAGTATAACCTCCACCATATTCAAGAGGTTTAGCTCACGCATGATGGGAAACCGAGTGATTGACAGCTGATCTAATTAACACCATGACTCAGCGTGTTGGGCAACTGTGACGTAAGTTTGTCGCCTTTGGGTCTTTTTCTGCTAGGGTTCTGTATGGGTAATACCACCTACCAGAGGACATCATGTACTGAACACTGTCCAGTAGTGTAGTAGACCCGACGTACATGTTGAGGGGCAGGTACATTGTTGAGTGATGTCAAGCATAACACTTTTGAACTTATAGTAGTTTGGCGTTGTTGGCCAGTACTCCTACATGAAACACGATACTGCAAGTCCAGCACTCGATATCTGTCCGTCTGTAAATAGTTGGTATTTAAAGGCCTGATTGCAAGTTTGAACCTGCTGACGATTCTTGCTGCAGCAGCTCGTTGGAAACTAGGCTTGAGCGACCATTGCATATCCATCCAATCGGCATTATTTAGCATTTAGAGCGATTGGTAGCAAAAATTGGCTTTATCGTTGATCAATTACATGTTGGAAAATGAGCGCTGACAAAGTAATCGTGTATTCTTTCCCTCGTGCATCAGCTATCCCCAGCCAATCTCCATTTGTCCTCAAGTTGGAGACATTTTTGAGGATGGCTGATATCCAATATCAATGCGATCATCGAAGTAAATTTTCAAAAAAGGGCAAGATTCCTTGGATTCATTGTCAAGGAGACGCCGTGGCTGATTCATCATTTTGTGTAGAATATTTGCAGAAAAAATTCAATCGATTTCTTGATGCAGATTTAAGCGAGGAAGAGAAGGGTATTTCACGAGCATTCATGAAAATGATGGAAGAGAACACAATCTGGTAACGAGATGATTGTAATGATTGGCTATAATAGATACGATGACCGATTCGATATGCTACTAAGTAAATTGCTACACACCCACACGTTATAGGCTAAAGTTAAACAAGACCACGGTAGATTGAATTAACTTTATGAATTCATGAGTAAGGGATATCATACTGTCGTATTATTTGCAATCAAAAATTCCCAAATTGATGTGACAGCATGAAATGACTAATTTAACCTAAGGTATACAGTACATACAGTACATTGATGGAGTATCATCCAAATTAAGCTATACCCTTCGCATATTCCTTATGAATCGAATTTGTTGTATTAAATTGACCATCGTGTGCCAGCTGCACTAGAAGTACGCAGTAGAGCCACGACTAAAATCATGCATCGATAACTTGCGATACAGTATCCATGGCTTGAGATTGTACAACGCATACAAGTAGTGTAAATTAGCTTCTCTAATGAACTGCAAAATTATCTGTATTCACATAGGGCTACGATCGTTCAAGGGCGAATAGTGGAAAATTTTCCGTGGTTTTTGCAAGCAATTCATGTTCCTAAAGCTTTACACTTCCTCCTAAAGTTAACCCTACGGCGAAAAATTACAGGCTATATGTGGTCTCACGGCATTGGTAGGCACTCCAATGAGGAAATCCATAGCATTGGCGAGACCGATCTACATGCCTGTTCACAACTTCTTGGCAAAAAGCCATATTTTATGGGCGATCAGGCAACAGTAATCGATGCTACCATGTTTGGCTTTCTTGCACAGTTGCTATACGATATGCCTGATCATCACTGGACCACTGAGTTGCTTGTCAACAAGTACCCCAATTTGAGCCAATTCTGCGATCGGATGAAAAATAAATATTGGCCCGACTGGGACGAACTGTTAGTCAAAGGGAAAGGCGGCAGTTCCAAGTCCGATGGTAATGAAAACAATTTATAAGTACGGCTAACCCAATATCACCCCTTAATTCATATTGGTAACTGTAAAATTGATTAAAAAAACAGTATTGTGTTATCATCTAGCTATCGTAGTCAACGTTGACAAGTTTTTAGACCAATCTAGTTAAGCAATACAAGTGAAAGGCAGCATTACCGTTAATGAATTATCTGCCCACTAGCATCATTTGTAGCGATACATACTCGTATGTTACAGTGTGCACTTGCTACTGAAGTTCGAGTAAATCAGTCGATATTGAACGATTATTTCGGTTGATCATGTAGGAGATGCGAATCATTGTCATAATAATATTTATTTGAATTCGTATCGATTTAACATCTTTAATGCATATTAGCAGATCTTTCTTTGATTTATTATTCCAATAGTCTTCATGGAATTTGCTCTAACCTATTGTTTCTCATCATTGAATCATTAGTACAGTATCGCAATTCAAACAGGATAATTAAAACCAAAGTAGCCTCTTCTGTTGAATAATATACGTTAAGATCCAATCTCATTATATTATTGCAGATGCCATCGTATCTCGTTAAACTTTCTCATTTCACCAAATGGCTCTGTATCTTGTATTCCTCTTTCAGTTCGTATTCTATGAATTTATCCAGTGCTATACTTGTTAACGTTGGTAAATTGTTACAATAAAATAACATTAATTCAGCAACTGTTGCAAAGTATGCTATAAATCAGAGCTGACATCCTACAGTACAAGATAGAATGATCCTTGATATGCCTAATTTTCTTCATTAATCTATGAATGAATTATCAATTGATATAATATACTTCCATGTAGACATCCTTAATCTACAATATGACTTAATTTCTCATAAATTTGACATATTTTCATTCTTAGAACTTTGTCTACTACTTATTGTGTCTTGTACTTCCTGTACGTCAGCAAACTTCAATATAATGCGCTTAAATTGATTGTCGATGTAATTCTTTTGCGGCTTTTACACTATTGAAAGAGATTAATATTGTCCAAAGACAAATTCATGCCAATAATGTAAAGAATTACGAAAATGACCAATCGATCATTTTAATATCGGCGATAGTCATCAATGCTTACAGTAGTCTTGTAATCAGCAAGACACGCCGCTGACAATCGTGAAGAATTACTGTGCAAACATCCATATACACTACTATATTATATTATAGTTCTACTGTCCAGTAGAATCCATGACAACAACTCTGAATAATGACGTCTTTATATTGTAATTATTGTCCATTAAATGTACAGTATAGCATTCATCGTCCAAATTTAAATTAAACTAAAAGCCTTTCGTTCCAGCTACACAATATCCTGACTGAGTGATGTATTAAAAGTGCTCATTTCTCGCGGCGAACCATCTACTATACCATATATGTATGCTGTTATGCATTAATAGCATAAGTATATAGTCCATATGGATAGCACTAAAGTTGAATTTATAATTTGACGATCTCTATGTGGTAGTGCTTAAATGTAATTTGCAACTATTGCACGGTAATAGTATACTAATTAATATTCAGTACAGTAGTCACTTTGGACAGTTCTTTTGCTCGACTAATGTTGAATTGGAAACGCATCTGATCCCTTCTATACTCTACATTTAGACGGTAGGCTATCCATGAAATCGAAATTAACAGCCTCTACCCTCTGCTTGAATATTAAATTGAATTTCATATACTGGGACCCTAATAGAAATTTTGTATTGCCTTTTTAACTTGGTTTATCAAGTTTCTAGTTTTTTACGGCAGACTGCTTGCAGCTTTCATCAGCAAGAGAGGCTTGAATCACATTTTTTTATGCAGTTTAATCTTCGATTGAATACACTGCAGCAACAGTCAAGTTTATAGTTTTTTACGGCAGCCTGCTTGCAGCTCTCATCAGCAAGAGGGGCTTGAATCATCACATTTTTCATGTAGTTTAATCTTCGATTGAATACACAGTAGCAATAGTCAAGTTTCTAGTTTTTTACGGTAGCCTGCCTACAGCTCTCATCAGCAACAGGGGCTTGAATCACCAAATTTTTTATGCAGTTTAATGTTCGATTGAATACACTGCAGCAACAGTATCTCTTTTTTATGACAATGTAAGCAGCAATAAGTAGTTTAATCATAAACATATAAACAGAATTATTATTGCATAGGTTTTATACAAATCAAGTTATAGTCGTATTCATAATCATCTATTAGAACTGAATGCCACTATTACTAATCGTATACTAAATACGAATCCTAATGGATAAGAGTCTATGATTTTGAAGATCGTATCGAAAGACTTACGATACTTCAAAATTCATTATTTTTATGCAGCGTTAAGCCAATCTATTTAAATCATTTTAAAGTGTAAAACAACTAGGTTCAAATTTAGAATTCATTTATATCCATCCATCGAATAATATACCCGTACAATGCGATACTGTGATCAAGTTGTCTAACACCAATGCATTGTATCGAGCAAATTCGGAACTCGACCATAACGCTGCACTCCTATCGATTGTTCATTACATTATTAATAGCAGTATGATGTTAACTACCATAGATTCCATGACAAGTGGATATCATGCCTTTTAATAGCCTGTTGCATTACCTATGGCGTTTAGTTTAGCCTTATGAATGGCGACTAGAGTAACTTGAACCTGAACTACTGTATTGCATCATTTGCTACCTACTTTCAGGAGCTGTTTAAACTGTCTTTGCGAATCGGGCAGGACTAACTGAAGTTTACCATGGTAGTGATATTCTGCTTGCAAATAGGAGCGATCCTTAATCAATATGAGCTATCCTACAATTTTACTCAGGTCAAAGATAGCATTTATCAAGGTGTAGCATCCAGTGGCCCATGTATCTATCAACACCTAGAATAAATTGACAAATAATTATCAACATCATGCTGCTAATCTCACAATACAGAATCGATGCAATGCCGTACTCAAATTCCAGGCACAATTTGTAACTATGTGTCTACTATGGGTACCGAAAGCAATAGTAAACTAAAATTGAATTGCTGTAAAACGTGAAATAGCGACAATAGAGTAACGTGAATATTAATGATACACTCTTGATACAGTATATCATAAGTTATGACTCTTATTATTATATAATTTCTGATTGCCAATATTACGAGTGATTTCGTGATTGCAGGCGCTGCGTTGAATTGTAGTATATCATCAAGACTAGTGCAAGTATATGAGTAGAGAAAGAACCAACACTCGTATACAGTTGTAGTGCCGTGCTTAGAGTGAAGTTAAATTCTTATTTAGTATTGGAATTACTAATATGAGCTATAGTAGAATGTAATGAGAATTAACTTTACTGCAACAGCATGTTAAATACACTACCAAATACTGTATACTTGAAGAGTGCTATACATACTAATTAATTTAAGTTGTACCTCTACTGAGCTCAGGAGAATAGATTAGGAAGAAAGCTTGAGACGATTGTACTCATGATTGAGGCATTATTTCACTACTGGAGAATATATCGAAGACGAAATATAATATTTGTTGTAAAATGTCGTCCATTCCTCTTAAGAAAGTATATGTTCCAGATTATCCGCAACTTCATGACCAATGATAAATTGTTTCAATTCAGCTCCTTGGAATCAACTTATCAATCGGAAACGAAGCACCCTAAAACGTGGCTAACATCGTGAAATAGTGCTCACTTTGTCGGATACCAGTAGTAGACATCGTTTAATCACCGGGTAGAAAGAAAATCGATTATCACGTTATCAATACGCTGATAGCTGCAATGTCGTATGCGGAAATAACTCATTTAGTATCCATGTTCAGTTATGAATTACATATATAGAGAGAGATATATACAGTATACGCGTATATTGCTGTTAACCAGCTCCATTGCCATTCTATTAATCAATCCTACTTTCTGTTAAGATTAACTTAATAAAGAATGTGTATCGTGATATAAGTCTCAAGCAGTTTGACATTTCCTCAGGCTGCAATTTAACACGCTCTTTATTCCAATTCCGTTACTCTCGCGTTCGTCTATTTGAACACATCATGTTAGGGTTTACTTACTAACCATTGCTTAATTCTATGTTTACAATATTACAGGCCCGTTCCAAAATCATCTAACCAACTCTTTCTTAATAGTTCGATTATTTAACCACATGCTATCTATTGGTAAGAAACCAATGCAAATATTATTTTGTTAGACGGTAGTTCTACTTTTGCATACAGATAATAAAGATAATTAAGGAATAATATACTATACTGGCATTAAGGTAAGATTAGTTGGAATACTAATACAATTATAAATCACTGGGATCATACTCGATTTATAAACTATGATGGCCTACCTATAGTCATAACTTAAATAGACAATAATTTAGAGTCAATTTCATACTTGAATATGATCATACTATACAATAGACGCTATATTAGTAATTAATTCAAAATGCTGAGTTACGGTAAATATTAACTATCAATGTAGGTATAATCAAGCCAATCGGAATTAGCATTGAGTAAATTAATTAATATGCTTGATGATGATAGTTTATTATCTAGATAAAAACAATTATACTGTTAAAGAATTATGGCAATGTTGCCTATACTATTATAGTATCTGCCAATCAAAGTAGTAATATAACAATGTTATTCTTCAGCCTTGAATTCTATTGGCGTCTATCAAATTTTCGTCATCAACAAATTAGCATCGGAAAAATCAACTGAATATGATTACTGACGGTAGGGTTTTTTTCACCTTGATAGTATTACCCCAATTCTAATCGTTTGATTACGTGAGTAGAGTTTAACCTTCAACGTGAAAACTGAGCCAAGTTGTTGGAATATAGGTCTGCTTTTCCTGAGGTAAGATAACTGATTATGCACTTGAAAATTTCTACTTGTTGTTAATTAGTTGCATGCAATACTGATAGTTTTTAGCTTGCTCTGCTTATCGATTGAAAGTTAAAAAATAAAACAGTCAATTCTTCCGCTGCAACCAAGCTAGAAGAGCTTTTGCTAGCGTAGAGCGTTCTTTGTACCAAGTACAGTGTCGCACGATGATGCACTATAACCATGGCGTGTCGACTTGATCAAGGCAAATGGAAAACTTTTCTTTTACACTATCGACAACTTTTTATCACCTTGGAGTAGTTACTCCATCCAACATGATGAACTAGAAATTATTTTTACTTATGTTTCCGTAGCTGTCGTAACTCGTTATGATTCATTAGTGAAAAGAAAATCTTATTCGAGTACCGCCTTTTTTTTTCACTCATTTCCCTTCCACGACTACTGGAACAAAACCAGAATATTGCATCTATTAACATGAATTCGTTGGGGAATAAATAAAGTAGGCAGATAAACTGCAAGCGGAACGCAATGCGCAAAGAACGCTAACTCAATTTTTAAAAACTATCATTCTCATACTCTTAGTGAAATGGAATCATTTTTAGATAGAGGAGAAAGTTTATTCGTAGCATGGTAATCGATGCGAGAGAAATCACTTGTTTGCATATCAACGGTCATGCTCTGCAGCCCTATAGACGGATAAAAAAAAGGTGCTAGGATAGCCTCCGCCGTAGTTGTGGAAAGAGTTTTCGAGATTCAGTTTACAGTTCTATACTCTCAATTTGAAATCCTTTATATTACTTCATGGAGAAAATAGAATTCACTTACTATTAGCAGCAAGTTTTATGCTAAATCCTATATGACTATTTCCAGCTATTTGACTAACGGTTGAAAGCTCGCAGTAGTCATGGAGAAAAATTGCAAATCAATTTACTTTCACGCTAAATTAGTCGGTGCCGCACTCGATGCAGAAAACTTGGGAGTAATTAACGTAATCGTTCTTGGTATGTCAATTGTCTGAAAATGATCCGTTCTAACTAGCCGTTAAAAAGAAGTAGCAAACTGCCAACTTCTAAACAAGCAGATAAATTAGGGTATATATGTAGCCGTGATAGCTACATTTGATTTTATTACATGCAACTTTGTTCAATATCTGAGTCGACTTTGCTACGCTAAGATAGCGCTTTCATAACAGTAATTTAATAAAATCACCATCAACGTAGGACATGCATCACAAAAAGTGAGAAGGCATCCAACCTAAGCTAGAACATAAATTTCACAGTAGATTAGAACAGGAAATTACAGGCCATTAATTAATTGTAATGATCATTATAATTCTATTAATTCTCAATGTACAGTATACCACCTTACAATTGATCACAATAAGCAATCGTTAGGTGGGCTTTTCGAAATAACCTTTCTTCAGCCGGCTTCTGTCACAGCATTATTTTGCATCACTTTAATCGTGTTCACTCCTGATAGCTAATCTAGTGGTAATAACGACGATGATTACGCCCCAAAAAATTGCAAACGCTGTTCCTCGTGTATCGATGTAACTATAAGCTACTATCGGAGAAACAATGTAGGATAAGCTATAAAACGCGTATAGCATAAAAAAACCGTGACTTGATGAATGAATATTATCTGTGTCATCCATAAAACAAGCCTTAACTGTAATTTAAACAACTATACAGCAATAAATTAACAAAAAAAAGCTTAAAAATGAAAACACTCCTTCAGACATGTTTGCAGGCAGCGAGCAATATAGCCGCTGAATAATTTGATTCTATAAAAAGTCTTTTACTCCTTCACACCGCTTAGTACTTCAGTTCATGGAATGGCTTTACCGTCATGAGCTCGTGCAATTGATCTTCTCGTAAGAAAAATCATTCTAGCATTAACCATAGCAAACAACAGCACTAATGTATTGCCGGAAAATCAAGGCTAATGAAACCTGCCATATTATTACCGTGTAATTTGATCACACGAGTACATTGGATAGTGCCTCTCTTATGGAGAAATTTTCTAACATAAACTGTTACTCCATCGCACTGTAGTACTAGTAGACCAAAGTTATTATTTGAAGCAGTTTAGTCAACAGTTTCATTGATCACGCTAGCTGAAACTATCAAATTTCTCGTTTTCGTACGGGAAACATTTTCATTTATTCATTAGGTAAATAGGAATTTACTTCCAATACAACTGGTAGAGCATTTGGGTAAGGTACTGCGGGTCTTGTTCTTAGTAATCGCAAGAATAGCATAGTGCAATGATTGCTGTGTCTCTTATATCTTTTGATTTTGTTCGAAGATCGAGGAAAAAATATCACGTTTTCATAATATTGTACCAGTAGCAACCAATCTTGCAACCTTAGAACAGTGATTCGTATTTATGTTTACGCAGGGCAATGTCGAAATTAAAAACATCAATTGCCTTTCATGGCATACTTCGCCATTTTCTCAATCAAAAATTTTAATAGAAACAACCGTGCTATATCGAGCTTTCAGCCTTATCGACCAAGTATCCAAGTGATGAGGAAATAATAAGATATATCATTAAAGTCTCAAGTTACTACTAGTAGTAAACGACAATAGTAGATTTGTAGATTTAAATTGATGTAATATTTTATAACTGAAAGGAATAGAACTCAATTGGAAAGGTGACTGAATGACAGGGTCTAATCGTGTCCTGGCCATTTATAGCTTTTTTATTTTATTCCTGTTCAGCGAATCGTATTCATTATTTTGTCCATCAGGATTCTTCCGATTACTTCTAATAAGATAACTACAGTCTTGCTAAAGCTTTAAACAAGGCTCAAAATTAATCTGTCCTCTAAATTCTCTCTTAATAGATATCGCAACAACTAGCGCAATATTCAAAACATGGCATTGTCCCAAAGCACAAGAATCGCTTTCCTCATCGTGTTCGCGGGGGCACTCGTTGCTGGAATCATCGGATTAATCATAGCTGTAACTGGAAGCGCACGCACACGTATGCATTTCAATAAGCTCTTTAAACTGTCGAAAAAAAATTTACCGTATTTTCTACAACTATCACACTTTTATGAATCGTACTATTCGATTCGATTAACAACCTAAATTAATAGTACTACTTTGTTGTTACTCTGTTGAATTTTTAGCTCCACCAAAGTATTTCTCTGAGGGTGCAGTAGCAGCTGATTCTCCGTACTGTTCAGTTGTTGGTCGAAATATGTTAATTAAAGGTGGTACTGCTGTTGATGCTGCAATTGCTACCATGATTTGCTCTGGTACCGTTAATCTCCATTCTACTGGTATTGGTGGCGGTGGTTTTTTGGTCGTCTATACTAAAAAAACCAAGATGGCTAAAGCATATAACTTCCGTGAAACTGCGCCTGCCATGGCATCAGAAAATATGTTCGTTGGAGATAATTCTAAATCAAGCTTAGGTTAGTGCTGCTATTATCCTATTCAGGTGATAAATAGTTCTATAGACGATATAGGAATATTGCCGCTACCCTCATGATTAGACAGTTGATAATATTCCTGAACTCTAGACTCTACTCTAGCCAATAAGTTCAATCATATACGGGTATTTCCATTTTGCATGATTGAAATAGTCATTCTAGCTAGTATTAATATATAAATTAATCCAATTTACTTCCTATAACAGAATTATTCTTCAGTAGTATTTATATATAAATTAATGCAATTTACTTCATATGACAGGATGATAGTGAGCTAGCATTTATAAAAAAAATTTAATCCAGTTTACTTTAAATAACAGGATCATGCTAGTATTCAGACATAAATTAATCCATATTTTATGACCTGATATCGATCAAAGGTTCGCTTACAATTCATCTCTTTTTCTTTAATAACTAATCATAAATTGCAGGTGGTTTATCTGTGGGTATACCAGGTGAAGTTCGTGGTATGCATGCAGCATGGAAAATGCATGGAAAATTACCATGGAAAGCACTCTTTGAACCATCTATTAGATTAGCTGAAGATGGCTTTAAAGTCTCCACTCCAATTTCTGCTGCCATCAATATTTCATCCACTCAAAAAGCAATGCAACAAGATGTCGGTAAAGGTTTAAAGGAGTTATTGCAACCCAATGGAACTAATCTACAAATCGGCGATACCATGCGTAGACCAGCTTTAGCAAGAACTCTGAGAATTATCGCTAACGAGGGTGCCGAAGCTTTCTATACCGGTTCTTTGGCTCCTAAAATCGTCAATGATATTCGATCTGCCGGTGGCATCATCACAGCTGCCGATTTAGCTAATTATAAAGTATCCGTCACTGATCCAATCAAGCTTAAAATTGGTAATTTAACGATGTATTCTTTGCCTCCTCCATCCAGCGGTATCGTTTTAGGTCAAATTTTAAGTATTTTAGAAGGTAAGCGACCTCAATTATTGGCCAATACTAAATTGAGTAGATCATTATAGCTGTAAATTGGTAGTAAAAAAAGTCCATCTATATACTTTTTGCCAATATTTAATGACTTATGAACTGCATAGAAATAAATCCCATTAATGGGCATGGTAAAGAGATAAAATTGTTGTAAACGTATCTCCTTTGAAATACCCTTTCCTTCTTTCTCTTAAGGATATAAATTCACCAATGCATCCGTTGCTAATGAAGAAGCAACTGTCTTGACTTATCACCGCATCATTGAAGCATTTAAATTTGCTTACTCTTCCCGTTCCTATTTGGGAGATCCAAAATTCATCGACATTAAATCGGTAATGGAGAAATAATTCGAGGTATTCGCTACTTCATCAGATCTTAGTTTAGAATGGTGGATTAAGAAATTCCGAACATTAGTATATCCGTAAAAAAAAATGAATGGATGATTATAATTTATATCTGAATAAGAATATCCTGATTTACTAAAATTTTTCTTGCCTCTTTTATTTTATTCTACAAGAAAATCGCTGAAATGCTTAATCCTACATTCAATGCCAACCTACGTAGAAAAATCAACGATAATCGCAGTTTCCTACCAAGCTATTATGGCGGCAATTTCCTCTCTGCTACTAAGAACGCTGGTACCTCACACATGAGCGTTTTGGCTCCTAATGGCGATGCTGTATCTGTTACATCGACGGTCAATTTATAGTATGTAACTTTTTGAAGCAAAAATGATGCTATAATTATATTAGAATTCGAGGATTCGTTGCAATCTACTCTTTTCCATTTTATGATCAATTTATAACCTGTTCATACGATAAAATAGAAGTAGATCAATAAGTAAAATTATTCTCCACCTGCAGGCTGTATTTGTTGCATTATTTTTCCTGCAATAGTTTATTGCCCCTCGACCATTTTTGATGAAGTTTTTAAACTGATATAAGCTTACAATCAGTTCTCCTAAGTTAAAGTAATAAGTATTTGCTTGCCATCTGCATTAGTCTTACGATTTTCTTAATGTCATTTTATTCATTTCCACTAGTTTTCAACGTACATCAGATCGATCAGAACTCATATAACTCGTCTAGGCCATTATTTTATTTTTATTATCATCAGCTAAAGTAATAAGCATTTGCTTACCTTCTACAGTAGTCTTATTGCTTTCTCACTGTTACTTTACTCACCTCTACTAGTTTTCGACATACATCAAGTCGATAAGAACTCATATAACTTGTCCAGACAATTATTTCAGCAAAAGCTTAGCATGACATCAAGTTATCAAATTAATATACAGTAAGCTTTCAATCAGTTTAGACCATCAGCTAAAGCACAAGCAGTTGCTTATCATCTGTATTAATTTTGTGACTTTCTCACTATTATTTTATTCATCTCTGCTAGTTTTCGACATACATCAGATCGATAAAAACTCATAAAACTCATCTAAACCATTATTTTAGTTAATACTTAGTATAAGATCTATGGCTGACAATTTGTGTTAGCCTTTTATGCGTTCTCATCGCATTTTTATTTATTCGACTGGTTATAATACAGTTTTCAATTGATTTGTGCTTTCAATCTGGCAAAATCATAGTTGAACTATGATCTAGTACTATCATTCACCTTTAGTTTGCATCTTAATCATACCATTAACTTACCTTACCATGTTACATATTTTGTTCTACTATTTTTTGATATAGTGATTAAACTAATGTTAATTCATAACAACTTTACAGTAGATCATAAACTAAGTTAATTACAATTATACGTATATACTTATACTATCATCTAAATTCGTCCTACATTAAGTATAAATTTACTGTTATCCTATTCAATATTGAATTACAATTCAGAATTCCGAGACTTGAATCAGAATAGGCGTCTTGACATACTTGATTCTGAAACCTTTATCTAGTGTCCAATTTTCATTTATCAATTGGAAACTAAATTGCAATAATATTAAAATGGACATTAAGAATTATTTAATATGCCTCGACAAGTTGTAATTAGCATAAATAACCATAGAATAAACGAATTGATGATCAATTTTATTTTTTGCTAGTTTTGGCTCTAAAGTTCGTTCATCCACAACTGGCATCATTTATAATAATGAAATGGACGACTTTTCAACTCCTGGCTTAGTTAATGCTTTTGGTTTAAGGCCTTCCCCAGCTAATTTCATCAAACCTGGCAAGAGACCTCTCTCTTCCATGTCTCCTTCAATATTTGTGGACAACATGGGAATGGTAAAATTCATTTCTGGTGCTTCTGGTGGTTCACGAATTACTACTGCAACAGCTTTGGTAAGTCCTTATAGGTGTATATGCCCAATTTTTTCATTATCCTGTTGTATTAGAAGTATTGAAATGCCTGAAGTCTGACCGGGTCTAAACATTTTACTTCTGAAGTAAAGAATGATTCCATTAATAAATATCTCGAAGTGTAGACTTTAAGATAGTTAGACTTTCTAGCCATTCTTCTACTATTGGTGAAGAGTTGTGCTGTAGCTTACAGATTATTTGAAACAACAAGTTAATATTCCGTAGACTGGATTAAGAACTATCGCGTACTAGTTAATGCTGGGAGAACTTAAAATCTATCCTTCCCAATTTTAAATTATTATTAATAACTATTCTATCTTCCACTATCCATTGACAATGGCATCCATTCAGGTCACCATGAACCATCTTTGGTTCCACAAAGCGTTGCCCGAGGCTACAAAAACTCCTCGCTTCCATAACCAGGTTTATCCAAATGTAACTTTAGTTGAACGTGATTTCCCACAAAATCTTATAGATGGATTAGCCAAACGTGGAAATGCCTGTGCAAAGAGTGGAAGTGGTGCAGTTGTACAATCTATTTCCCAGTTGAAAGCGATGATGATCAGCGCCTTTTCCGATTTACGTAAGCATAGCAAGGCAGCAGGTTTCTTTCCAAGCTATCCATAATTTCTCATTTTAGATACCAATGTATTTTATAGCAGTAGTATGAAAATCAAGTCGACAGCCCTATTTTTGTTAGTTCAATTAATTTTGTGTGTGTTAGCAATTAATATAGTACTTCTACTAAACTAAAAATGCCGGTAATCAAGTAACAAACTTCAAAAGTGGATATTAGTATGTTAAATTAGAATTACAAGCGATGTGTGTATCTTTGTATATGTGCTATTTCGTTTGATTGGGTCATAGCGCTGTCTATTATGATTTGAATTCGATAGTTGGAATAGTGACTTTTTTATGGTAGCTAGTCAGCCATCTAGAAAGCTTACTCAATATAGTTTTTTTTATTTTCGTATATTCACTAAACGATTTAAATAAAACCAGCAAAATCATTATGCGTCATGGTAAATTTACAAAATCTAGCGTAAGATGTTCTTCTTTAACAGCTTGATAGCCTTATACTTACACTAAAATCAAAAAAATTAAAAACGACTGAACTTTATTCTATAAAATTTACACACTAAAATTGACAGCTATAGTACCATTCCCGCATGTTCAAGTTAATTCTACTCCTTTTGCGAGAAGGTTTATAGTTTTCCATTCCATCGTTCAATTCATTTTAGACATCTGTTATAAAATACGTAATTAGCTAGTCTTTTTGCATTGGAAACCCCTTATACCTTAGTTAAAGGTTACAGGATAATTACCTTTAATATATCACAGTTGAAATTACTACGGCTGTTTGCAGCTTTATGCTTGGTACTGTATATCCGTTTACATTAAGCTTTCTCTCAACTTATAAAGGCGGCAATACCGTGAAACCTAATAACCACTATCACTGCTTGCAACTACAAACTGCAATCCTGCGCGTCTGCTTTTATACTACGTATTCTCCCAATATTTGAAGGTGGCAATGTTGCGATGCCCTATATATAGCCATTATGGCTCTTGTAGCTATTAATTACGCTAGACTTGTCTTTATAACAGCTTAAAAATAAGCTGTTGAAGGTTACACATTCTATAAAGCTTTACAAATACTAGCTGCGCACAATTTTATGCACACATTCGAATATACCATAGTGACACATTTTCAGCCACCTAGAATTACTTCTTTAGCCCTATGATTAATGAACATATTAAATCTACGCACATACTGTATTATGTATTGAATAAGTTAAAAATATTTTTCTCTTCCTTATAAATATAGTTTACCCAAAGCATACTATGATTAAAGACTCAAGCTAAGTTCTACAGGGTGCTTGTCTACCCTAGTGTTTGTTCTATAGTATGATTTTGGGCTGTCCGTGTATATATTGTCCTTAATATACTATACGCGTATTTTCTAATTTGGAATACTAAAGCAAATTATCTGGGTATCATGTCTCCGATATTTATACCAAAGAAAATATTGCAGTACGTATTTCAGTTCAAAGCTTCCAGAAAATTCCAATGATATAATCGTAATTTTGGGACAAGGATACTACAATAACATTTCTAATAGTTCATTTGATGTTGTGTTACAACTCTTTAATTTTATTGATGTTACAGAGATATACAGATGTCCAACGATTTATAATATGCAGAATTACATTCGATGTAGGCCATAAGTCATATAAACAAATAAAGTTAAGCGCAGAAATAATTATTTACAGTAGAAGCTCAACGTTCAATAATTCATACAAAAAACTGAAATACCGTTATTAATATGTTATATAACTGAGTGCCATAGAGTCAATGGAATTATCATCCACCGCTGCTCAGTGAGACAACAAACTTATCATACATACGTATTGTACAGTACTGCACGTTAAATATTAAGCTACGGCAACTTAAATTTAAGTTATAACCGCAGTTAATTCGATTACATATGGTTACTAACGGCAGAAAAATAGGCCAAGACCTTAACTCTTGCACTTTAACGAGTACCTATCGTTACACAGTCCGACAAATTACATGTGCATATCTGTACATCGATGGTATACAATTGGCAAACCAGATCGCGAGATAAATCTGGTAAATGGATGTACTAACATCTTCACTCAAGTGATCTTCATAAATCAATATAACTAACATTACATTAATTATTGCTAGAATATACTAGACACAAAATGGCGGTGAGAAAGAATTGGAAAATAATAGACTATTAAATAACTAAATTACATCTATAGTATATGGAAAAGCTGCTGTTAGACCTATAATCATTTCGAATATGAATGGTAACGACAATAAAATTTGCATTCATGATACGCCTTAAAAGCGAGAAATTAATTGATCTAGTTTCTGCAATCCTAGCAAGTAATATGGAAGGCACGATCTTCTTTGATGTGATATAGAATTAATAGTTAGCCATGACTGCGCATCAAGGCGTTCCATGATATACCTAAATCAGTAATTGAATAAGAAAAAAAAGTTAGATTAAAGCGAAAATAAATTATCCACCTGAAACGACAAACCTTAAAACGTCACATGCTTGCGTAGAATCCAAGGCATGCGGGCAGTCTTCAACTGACGAGTTATCCGGATTGATAATAGTATGTCCAGTTAAAAGTACCTTATTGTAAACGAACAGAGATCAATTACAATTGTTAGATGAGGCCAAAATTCGAATGCATAGTGATTTTAAAGATACATATAGTAAAGTAGTTGCTACCTTCAATAAAACCGGAGAAGAATAACCGTTCTGATCTGAATTCATCCAAAACGATTTGAAAAAAATACCAGTTGGAACTTCTGAAAATAAATAACCTATTGCCAACGGATGATGAGACATAGCCGTTTCCCTAGCTTTATCAACAGATAACCTTTGGTCCCGATAAGAATCTTGCTGTGATTTATCTATATTCTGTTTTACAGAAGTTGTATCCATGGATGAGTTAAGAGTATCACCAGGCGTAGGAGAGAAGGATGGCTCCAAATTATGTAACCAATCATTAAGATTGTCGTGATCGCTTAAGCCGGTATCATCGTTAGGAAACATATTGGATGTTGAACTTGTGTTATCAATTATGGAACTACCATTATAATTATTAAATGTAGCAGATGATGAATGAGCTTTCGATGTAGGAGAGAAAACAGGTGTATCGGTACGAGAAGAAGTAACCACAATGCTTGAGCATTTTGCAGCCTGTTCGTCATTTGATGTGCCCCACGCTGTTTATGTAATAAAGGCAACATTAACAATAATAAACTTAAATATTAGCATAAAATATAACAAAATTATAAACTCACACTGTCCACTAGAGATTAATCGAAGAGTAGACTCTGGCTCTATAGTTATAATACTAATTCCAACCAAACTCGGATTAGGACCGATAGAGCAAAGTTTACATTCTTTACTTAGTTTATCAGACACGAACGATCGTAAATTTTCATTCGATGATAAATACTGCCAATCTGAAAATGTAAAAACAATTATGATCAATAAACAGGCAATTTCCAAATGTAGTAATACGCGAATTACCTTTCAATTCGCCGGGACCCACTTTTCCAAATCTTATTATCACCAGACGCCACTGTAGAATCGTTTTCGACATTAAACTTACGCAAAATCCTAATAACTTCTTTAAAGCAACGGACCTTATACAGGTTTGTTCTTTATTATCAATATCTTGCCTACATTTCAAAGCATGCAGCATTTCTTATTACATATTAATACAGTAACAGAAACCTACTCACTAAGTTAGAAAGATTATCAACGCCAAGTTACAATTACAGCGATACACGATCAGACCTTCTACAAATATGCAATCCATATTAAGGTATAATAATTTTACGGTCTTGCATATTCAACAAGACAAAAATTATACTACAATTACAATGTATTCCGTAAAAATACAATTTAATTGAAGAGAATTTCATTACTACTCACTTAATAGATTTCATATGAAATATGCCAGGTTCCATCATTTCTCCGTTAATATCTGAGCATACGCATAAAAGCCATTCGCGATTTTCTGACAAATGATAAGCACAGAACATGACTCCCGCTCTTTGCCCGCGAGGAGCAATCATATTTTCAGTAACACCAGAAAGATCATAATGGTTTACGTGTTGCGATGGTGCTATCACATAAAGAGGTGTATGGATTCTAGAATAACTGTCTACTACCTGTAAAACAATTCAAATAAATTTGCCTTTAGCTCTTCATCAATAATTTCGTCGGTATATCAAGGACCACCTTCCCTTTAATAAATCGCTATAGCAAGTATTGCTTTACCGTATTTTATGTAGCTGATTACCTTTTCGTTGCCCAGCAATTGCGCTCTAACTGCAGCCATTCCAAAGCCGGTTAATGACTTTGCGTCAACAGCTAGTTTTGTATACCTTTTACACTTTACATACACTGAGAATGCAACAGCTTTCAGGAGACTTAAATTTGATAAATTAGGCCGAGCTGGAGGTGCACTACTAAGTAGATGCTGCACATTACCACATGGTACAATCTACGGAGAAAAAAGAAATTATTGAAACGGTGATATAGCCAGCGATACAAAAACATATCCACGTATCATTTATAGTATTCTACATAATGAGTTAAATGATACATACATGTAAAACTATGTGTCTCTTCATTGCTGCGGGTAGCAATGCCGTAACTTCTTCAAAACATTTAATAAGCAGCGATGCTGACGAAATAGAATTTCCATTAATCAATTTAAGTTTCGTTTGTGCATCTCCCAAAGAGTCACAGGTAAAATTAAAAGGATCTACCATGTAAACAACTACACATGGTAGGGTATTCCTTTTCTTTGTTTCAGATAATGCGGTTGCGATACCAGTCCCGTTAGAACTGTCGGTTGTTTTATCAACTGATGACGCAACAAACGGCTTTCCGATATGAGATTTGACAGGGCTGTCGTCTAGTTGTCGTAAAGTATACAATAACGGCTGTTTGCAAAATTGGATGTATAACTTTAATAAAGAAACTTCAGGACAAGGGTCTAGTTTATGAAACCATTCAGGAGGATCGTCCCTTTGTAGTCTTTCAGCTCGGTTACGGCCTACTCGAATAACTCCATCTTTGTTAATATTTGTGATAGGCTGATGGGTTCCTAATTTACAAGCTTCATATACTGAACTCAGCTCCTTAAAATATCTTTTCACATGATCGTATATAGCGTCATTTTCAGGTGCCACCACAACATAAGAAACATCGTTTGGAGTAGCAAATGGCTCTAAAGATAATCGTTCCCAGTGAGGAATAGCAAATGGAGATACAACAAGCCAATCTTGTTCATATCCTGTCATAATCTTGGGTATACGAAGTATAATCTCTTCATTATCTACATTATTTGACTTGTTATGCAGTTGTTGCCATGTCAAGGGTCCTTGGACAGAACTCCTTGGAATATTTTCCCAACTAGTTGATGTACACCTGTGTAATAGATCATTCAGTACTGGATGCAACTTATGCAGTACATCGAGAACAATAACCGTTGAAGGTTTAATGCCATTAGCTTCATACGTCTCAATATATTCCCATCTATTTTCATTGCTAGAAGGAAAATCACCACCTGAATTTTCTTTACCTAAAACGAATTTGCTATAAGCAATAGCACTTTGATAAACGTTGTGAAGAACGTTACGAAAAATTAATTTCTTGAAACTCTTGTCGACTTTCTTGTTTGGCTCAAAACGTCGGTTAGCTCTTAAACGCTGATCGAATACAGCATCTATACATTGATTACATAAAATATGGAGAACAATATCTGTAACGTATCCAACATTGTTTAATTTGTTTTTACCAGTAATTTTTTTCTCCGATAAATTACGATTAACTGTTCCGTGAAAAAAATCACGAACTAGACTTGTAATATCATCATCGAACAACCCAGCTTCCGAAATAAGCGTTTCAAATTGCTTAATATATTTTCGACCTCGCACATCCTCGGCTGATCGGCATGAATCAACTGAAGAAAGTAGGTCCTGCAACCATTCATTATTCGAGTCTAAATGTGCATTAATAATGGAATCCGACAAAACCAAATTTATGCAGAGGCTATGACCTTCTGGAAATGACGAAACGGAAGATTCTATCGCTGGTGCTAGTATTGGTTCAACGATATCATAAGAATGTTCCTTAACACTGGGGCTAGACGATATAGAATCCGATATCTGTCCGTTTACTATAGGATTCGTGAATTTTTCAGTAATTGAACTGAAGTAAGATATATTCGATCTATATATAATAATAGTAATGAAAACAGTTACCTTTGCGAATTCTTTTAAGCTAACGATACAATACAAACTGCAATTACCTGCTATTACTTGTATTATAGCCATTACCACGTAAAGGCTATAACAGTAAAACAGAACAAAACCGTAAGACATAATAAAAGCACGCGAAATATCATGGAGCGTTCCATATTCTATATCTATAGTTACCTTTTTAGGTGGAATGTAACGTAATTTACTACTTAAAATTATGTGGGACATTGCTGAACTAGGGAGACGATCAATAACGGAATATGGCGTAGCCGCTAAGCAGTCGATGTCCTATGAAGTTTATTAGTAAAAAATATCTTAGAATATCGCAAGGTCTTAATATTTAATAAACTATCGTAAAAATATTTACCTTGCCACTTCCATCTATATTCGTAGAAGAAGCTTCCTTAGAAGCAGCTCCATTGCTAATATTGCCATCTATACCGCCTTCACCACTGAATAATCCCTCATCTGCTAATAACGAGTTCGAGTTAATTGCTTCTAATGATACTGAAGACGATACGCCGCCAACATCATTCGAAAGACTTGAGTGAGAAGTAATCCCTGTTGCATTGTACTCGCCACCGGAAAATTGCTTTTCTACCTATATACCATAATTTACATTTCATCAATATATTGTAATTGATAATAATGCTAAATGTAATTGGAATTTAAATAATAATTTTCGTTGTACCTGATCCATACTGGGATTGGATTCATCGTCCGTATTGAAAATTTGATCTAAATCTGATGCAGTAACAGTAAGGTCTTCGGGGCGACATAACCTGCTCGAGACGACAGGGGTGCTATAATTAATGTCATGTATAACCGCTGAAAATTTGTCGTTATTTATAGCCAACGACGATGCCATTGGGGAAGCAGTGGATCCATCGCCATCCACGTATTTACGCTTTTTACCAATTTCAGATTTCGACTTTGCTGGATTGGATTCTTTGATATTCATTTCCGGTGTTATGTCTGCATTTACAGTAGTTATTACGTGAACGAATTACGACATAGAAATATAGACATCTAAACACCGGAAATGACATGACCATAATTTTGAACCAATGCAAGCTTACCGGTATTGTCAGCTAGCACATTCACACTAGTATCTATAGCAGCGTTTTTAGCTGCGCTAGCTTTTGTTGAGTTTCTACGCCTGTTTGTTGCTCCTGCTTTTCTAGTATTCGTAGAATTAACACGTGGCTTTTTCTTCGGTGTTGGCTGCTCCGTCTCAACAGTTACGGTCGTCCCTTTTGTTTTGTTTACTCCGGATTTCGAATCTCTACAAGCCAACAAGATACAATTAATTAATTAATTAATAAAACTTAATAGCTACGACTATGAATAGGTTTGTGCATACTTTGCACCGCGCTTCTTCTCATTCTCAAAAATTTTAGACTCTTCTTTATCTACTGGTAGGGCAGGAGGCTTCGTTTCATCTTCACCAGGCAAGTCATAACACTGCCAAGGATATGCGGATTTACTTTCATCACTGCCAGCATTTGTGAATCCTCTACCAAACCACCCGCTATTTGTTTTTCTGACAAGATAGATAATATAAAATAAATAAAAGAATTCTATACACATATGTACAGGATAATTAATAGCAACCATGCCTGCGTTACCTGTCCAATATTCGATTTTTTTCGTCTTTTTCTTCTCCCTTAGGAGATAAAAATACGTTATCACTTAAAGACGGTGAACTAGGCGAGCTATTGGAAAACGATGACGTAGGAGATGAAACAAATGTATTCTTGTTGGGATTAATGATTTTCAGTATGATCCGTTTAGATTCGCTTTCTTCTAAAGTAACGCTACCATTGTAGGGAATGGGATCACTACTACCATTTGTAATTACTTGTGAAGTTTTTTGCTTGCTTTCCTCACTGTTGGGGAATCGACGTTTGTGATAAGGTTCTAAAACTGACGGTGAAAAATTGCTCTTTGTTTCAGTTTTTATAGACGGCTTCATACTTGTCGACTGTATTTGTAAAAGACTTGCTTTCTTTGTTGCAGAAGTAGTACTTTTGCTAGTATAATTTATCAATCAAAATATAGAATTATAATGTCAGATTACTTAGTAACAACAATTATAACTCCAAATGTTGACTTACTTTACAGTGCTGGTATTCAGTGGGCAGTTACATTTACTTTGAACCGATGGATCAGTGACTCTCCAGATTTTAGTTGATTGATCAATATCAGTATTATCTTGATAAATTACAGAACTATATTCCGTAGATTGTGAACTAGTTTGAAGTAGAATGTGTTTTCGTGTCAGATTTATCTCGATAATATGTATACGGGTTGGGATAATTGATGGCTTACCTTTTGTCAAAGTTGCTAGTGCTGCATCGGTGCCAAACGGAATTGGTAATTTTAGATATAAAGTCAGGCGGTAGGGTCGGTATTTCTTCCATTATCTTCTTCTAAATGAGCATATATAATGAGGTCAATAGCTTTAAATGAAAATTTCCCTAAAAATAAGAAAAATTACCTTCTCTACGACAGCCTTGGGAGTAATTCGTACAGGAACAAGAACATAGCAAGCCGGATATTTCATGCAAACTTTATCAAGTACTACTTCGACAACCGGAGGTACAAGTTGTTTTTCTTGTGATTGGCTTTTAGGAGGATAATTATCGGAATCCGAATTGAGATGAATAGGATAAAAATGGTTCCATTCTTTCAGCATTTCTCGAGAGCCATCGAGAGTAGAGTACGTTCGTCCTGTTAAGGTACCTTTCAGGCCAAATGGACTCAATAAAACTGAAAAAGAAAAGTCCGTTTTTGTAATGATTGCTTATTCACAATTATCTAATTACCATATAGAGTAACAATATCTAAATAGTAGATGAATAATACTTAATATTAATAAATTCATGACCAAAACCTTACCATCTAAACCATTCAAGGATTGTCGGGCTTTTGTTATATCATCTACGGTTAAACTGTACAATGACGAATGGTGTTGAATCTCAACTGATGTACAAACTGTACTTTTACCAAATAGGAAAAAGGAAAATGCAACAGACACCTGCTCTTCATTACTGCCAAAAAAAATTATGACAATTGTATAAATACGTATATTTCGAGTATAATACTTGTAGTGTATTGCACAATTTCTTTAATACACTGGTATGCTATTGCATAACATCATTTAGTATACAAGACCTCAGGTAAGACTCAATGATAATATGGTTAACACTAGTATATTATTATATAATAAAACTAAGATTCTCTATCTATTCAAAATTAAAAATAATTCAATATTGTAATCATCGTTAGTCCACTCCTGCAGTTACTCATAGCGAGTCTTAATTAATCAATTTTGATGTACAATGAGCATGAGCCAACCAATAAGTATCGACATTCATAAGTTTCAACATTTCAAATATTAGGTGGACACAATTACGCACTGGAGTAATTGATATTACCAGCAGACTACTCAAATGTAATGTAATGTTGGTATAAACTGCATACTTATTCAAGCACTGGAATACGGAGAAGTACCCCATCTCATTGTATACGTAAAATTTATTAAATTATGATAGATATATAGTAAATTTATTGTATAAATTTGTACAATTTTTGTAGTTGATATGATTACATACGTACATAATTTTATCACTAAGATTATAAACATGATCTACGTAGCTATATGAACTATTTTAAGTCATTTAGCACAATATACGTACGACAATGAGTATATTTTCTTATCTTTCCTTTCAGGTTCCACAAACCATCTCCCGTATCGTACGAAACTCTTAGCTAGCAATCCACTAATGATAAGGCAAAATATATTACACACAATTGAATGCAACGTAACCAATACGCACTAAGAATTTAAAGTAACCAACCGTTCAATGGAATTATGAATAGCTTTAAAGAGCAATATTCTACATCTATAAGTAAAGCCGTCCTTGAATGTGCCATATTCAACATCTACAAATAGATAATTAAATGCGTTGAGATCATCTATAGTAATTTCACAATTAGCCCAGTAATATATCTTATCTACTATAAATATATTGTATTATCTATCATAGCTAAAAGCATTGGCATTGTTTGAAAATTATCAATTAACGAATATAATAACTGCAGCCGGTACTTAATGGTTTGCTATCCAATCATAACTAATAGTAGAATCGACGCTCGTTATACGTTACGCATAATAAAATATAGTCTGTACGTATTTGTACTTTTACTTTACAATTAGGATATTGTCTACCCATTGTATTGAACCCATGCTTATCATATACTGTAGTTTTATCTTTCGCAAACAACTCATGACATTCGTCGTTTATTTGTAAACTATCGATGGTGTTACCTACAGCAATTCCATACTATTCACTGCTGTCCTACTTGCAATACCCTATGTGGTCGATGTCTAGTAGTAGTAGGTGCAAGTAAACCGCTATTATTTGTGTATATGCATTTCCGTTTAGGGGCTTTACAAGTTATACAGTAGTATCAATCAATATATTTCGCTAGAATACAAGCCCATTAAGGAAGACATCGTGATGCAATCGTAAATATTGTGGAGAAACTATCGTTTATCGAAAGGATTTTCTCGTGCACTTTATACAACAGCAACAATGTTGTAAGATTTGTGTCTTTACGTGGATGATAAAATTGCATCTATTAATTGCATTGTTTAAAAGCGTAGTCGATAAAAAGATCACTAATTTGTATTAAAAATCATTATTCAACTTAGCAGTGGCAGATGACATACATTGTATATCAATAATTACCTATTAGCATATAAAACTTGGCATCAATCAACGTTACCTACCTTTCAATTCGGAGCTTAAAATATTACTTAAATTCGGATCATCACCAAACCAAAACAGCCATAATTCTTTCATGCCACTACCAAATACTTGGCAGCTTTTACTACTGCAGCAGTCATGTCCATGGTTAGGATCGGTAATGTTTGCTGCTGAATCATCTTTGCCGCTACTGTTGCCACAGGCTGAGGTGCACTTTAAATGTTGCCAGACGCACAAAACATCTTGTGCTAAAGCATTAGCATACGAAACTAAGATAGGATCACTAAGAGGTAAAGAAGCAGTATCAGTTCGGGCTTGATATCTTCGCCACTTTAATCCTTTCACGTCAGCCTTGATAGGGCAAATAATGAAAAGTTAAAATTATTATTCAATATCTATGATACATGATTAAAAGGTTCGGAAAAGAAGTATTTTTGGTCTAAATAGAAGTTGATTTTTAAGTAGATATTAGCTCATGTAGAAACAGTAATAATGTCATCGAGTTATGCGCATTCAGGTACATTGTAATCGTCGAGATGTTGAACATGTTTCGTAGTATGTACAAATATAGCGTAATTGTATACTAGATTTCAGGAGAATAATGCTTAAAATGGCTGTATACTGCAAGAATTTTAATCTTTAGATTAGAATGTGCAATTTGGCAATCTCTTCAGCGAACTCATTTGTAAACTGAATATCGCAGTAATATAAGACGGTCGTAGTGAAACGGTAATGAACTGGCGGCTAGAATAGGTTCACTTGGTTTAAAGCTGATGCTCAATCAGTCTACACAAGTTCTATTGAGATAGCACTAGTTTCACCTTCAAAGAGTAAGAATTTCAAGGTGATTTGAGTAGATAAACAGATAAAACACTTACTGTACAATGTTTTGATCTAGTGGAGAAAAAAACTCAATTCCAGCGCGATGGTGCACACAACGTTTTCAACATCGGATAACCGATGTTGAAAAATGATAATACAGTATAAAGATGATAGATGGTGATTGTATACGTCGATCATCTAAAGCAAATATTCAAAGTGCTATCGAATATCAATCGGCAATTAGCAATTGTTCAATTATTATTATCAAGACTGTTGCAACAGACATACGCATTTAGTCTACATTCTTCAACCGCGTGGATAGCGTAGTCCATACTATTTCTTCTAGTTTAGGATAGTTGCAAAATAGCGATGCAATTTTTGCACTGGACAAAATATCCAGTATTGGCGAAGATGATGGATATGAAAGTCGAATGCATCAATTTATTAATGTAGTAAAAGGTAATCCAAGCGTAGACTAGTAGTATCCCATGGCTAAAGCTACAATGGCTGATGGCATAGTTGATTTACGAAGACGAAAACAATGTATGGGGACTCGTTCACCACTGCGTCTCTCTCTCTCTCGCTCTCTATGTTCTGCATACAGTAGTAGAAATGATTCTAAGTTATCAATAGAAGTAAATCGTTGTAACTTTTCCATTTGCTTCTTGAAATTGAAGGCCAAAATGGATGATGGCATAGTTGATTTACAAAGACGAAAAGAATGTATGGGGGGACTCGCGTCTCTCTCTCGCTCTCTATGTTATATACTGTATATATATATGTCACAGTAGTAGAAATGATTGTAAGCCATCAATAGAAGTAAACCGTTGTAACTTTTCCATTTCCTTCTTGAAATGGAAGGGCAAAATGGATGATGGCATAGTTGATTTATAGCGACGAAAAGAATGTATGGGGGACTCGTTCACCACTACGTCTCTCTCTCGCTCTCTATGTTATATATATATACACAGTAGTAGAAATGATTGTAAGCCATCAATAGAAGTAAATCGTTGTAACTTTTCCATTTCCTTCTTGAAATGGAAGGGCAAAATGGATGATGGCATAGTTGATTTACAAAGACGAAAAGAATGTATGGCGACTCGTTGACCACTGCGTCTCTAAATACACACAGTTGTCCGTAAGAAGGAATGAGAAAGAGATGGGCTATGGTGGACAAATGATGGATAGCATACGACGCATGGAGATCGGATTGAATGTATGCTAGAGTATAGAAGAAGAGGGATAGTTTCAGGAGTATGATGGCGGTAGCACACGATCCGTTGATTACGATCATCCTGAGAGATATGCTGGAAGAGCTCTCAAGTTTATAAAATCAGCGATTACCCGCGTCCTCGACTAAGCTAGCGTTTGCCGGTTATTTTTTTGTCATTGGAAAGTACTTACCAATTGATAGACATTGGAGACATTGTCCCCTAATGGAAATTGAGATATGAAATCTTTGCCAGCTACAGCCATCATTGTGTTACAGTTGAACGTA